GTATTGGATAATCCATTTGGGTTAGTCCTTGATTAACCATGGTTAGTATGATGATTAAGTCCTAATTTAGGATGCCCTTTACAATGAGGGAAGTAACATAACATCATCTAATTTATGCCCTTCCTAACTGCTAAAGCTCATATCTCCATGCAGATTTTTTTGAAGGAAAAGCTCGTAAAACCCATGCCAATATCAATGCCATCAGGAATTGCCTTTACATTGCCATTTTGTGTAGAGTTGTCACGCGAACGATGACCTATCCCATTGTTGCCAGAGGGAGGAAGACTAGGAGCAATAAAAGTAGGGACATGAGGACTACCTATATTTTAACTAGGCTAGGTTGGATTGTTGAGGCCCGCCAAAGCACAAATATGCATATAGGTCTCAATTTGACAATTATGGAGTAATAGTATGTCCGTAGGATCACGAGGGTAAGAAATTCAAACATGTAGATAAAGCTAGGGAAATTCCTTGATGAAAGAAACTGTGGGCAAGTAATCAACCATGCCAAATACTTGAAGAGCCTCCCATTTATATTCATAGAGTTCATGCAAACAAGCCATTGAGTAAATCCATCTAAACCAATTATACCTTGATTCTGTCTAGTGCATGGACCCTAGATGAATATTAGATCTTTCAACCGCCACAAACTAAAAAGTTCGCTCACGTACATTATGAAAGACCACCCAAAAGGGGTTAAATTAGGCTTCATAAAAATTTGGCTAATAAATAAAATTAAATAGATGAATTTATAACAACATCACCATTCATAGAAAGTAAAGAAATGAACCTTGTACATATGTTTATCTTGATTTAGCTTTAACTACTTGAACCTACATCCAATCCTAAGTACCACTTGAAATTTTTTTCAACTAACTCCACCAAGATTAATCCAAGTTCTTGGTAGCCTTAGTACAATCCCAAAACACTAAAGTCTGAATCACTCCACCTTATAAAGGTCTAATATAACCCTCTTAAACTCCCCAAGTTTAATATCCTCTGTTTCAAGTCAGAAAAATAGACATAAATAAAGTAAGTTCAAGAATAAACTACTACTGCTAAATACTCTCTCTGAGTTGATATGTAATTAATAAAGCTTTAACTTAATAAATATAGAGTCAAAAAATTGGTATATAATAAATATGAATTGCTCGAGTTCATTCGTGTGTGTTCCTCTTTTTTCATCTTCACAAATGCTCATATTTATAGTTGGTCTTCATAAACAATTTGTTACACACTTGAATATAGTCGTTAAAGTTATCGTCTTCTTTCTTCTGACTTATTTGAGCAATCTTCGAAATGAGACAATGTAACAATGCTTTATAGTAGAGCTTTCTCTCACATAGCAAGTAAGGAAAATAACATCTCCTTGCATTAAATGTTTTGATAAGGAAGGTGAGAGACTCTTTTGAAATAACAACATTATTTAGGAATAAGGAATTTATGAATAAGATCAAAGAAAGCTAAAACTAACCAAGAAAAGTGTTTAGAGAGATTGTATTAAGATTATAGAACTCAGATAGTTCTCAAAAAGGAAAGGGAAAGAGATTAGAATGACATTCGAATTGCCCTTGTTATACTCATGAAAAATAGAGTATTTGATGTTCAACTTATTTCGAAATAGGTGTGGATATTTCGGAACAATGAAGAACAATAACAAGAAGCATAAAATGGTTCTTTTGAAATGAATATCTTATATATTAGAAGAGAGTTACATACATGATGATCTAGAATTCTTTATTTGGGAATAAGAAGAGCTATTCCCAAATATATTATTCCTAAATAAATTATTTCTGAATAAGCTATTTTTGAATATGTCGTTAAGAGAAATGAAACGAGAATAGTTTGGAAAGAAAGATGCACTATTTTGAAATAAAAGATGGTTATTTTGGAATAAGCTATTTCTAAATATGTAACATGAAGATACTTGGGATAAAGAGGTTCACAAATGACTAAGCTATTTCGGAATAATGATGCTTATTTCGGATAAGGACCAAAAACATAGATAGTGAAAAAGGTTCCAAGAATTTGAATTTTGATTCTAAGTTTATTTGGGATACCTTTCAAACAATACAAGAGATTTTTAAGGAATTAAAATCAAGAGAGAGACAATTAAGAAGGAATCCAAGAGTTATTCGAAGGTTTCTTGGCTATTTGGGAATAAACATACTTATTTAGGAATAAGCACACTTAGTTAGGAATAAGGCCGAAAGCTAGAAATTTCAAATAATGAACCAAGTTTCCTTACAAGCCATTAATATAAAAATATTAAACTTGTAAAATACAAACTTATCTCATTTTGTTATCATCAAAATTAGGGTTCAACACATTATGTTCTAATAGAATGAACAATTTGCCACCCAAAATTATCAACCAATAAAATCCCTCAGAATGCCATTAATGAATAAAAAGTTGATGATTGTTTTATGAAAAGCTTCAAAATGCCAAGTCTCAAGAGAAGCTTCCATTAGCATGAATATGATTGGAAATTGAGAAAAATGTGTGAACCAATGTATCAAGAGATTGCGATATATAGGAAGTCGAATAACACTAACCTATCCTTCCATGCTACTATTAAAGCAAGACTTTGCAACCCATGAGTAATGAGAGCTTGTGAGTCTGCCATTTGAATGACGGGGCCTAAAGAAGTTTTTGAGCTAGGGAGGAGGCTTTATGAGACAATGACACTTATAGCAAAGGGAAAAAATTCATTGGATCATGTAGAAGAAAAAGCAGTGGTGACAAGAATAGCTCCCTCTTCACTTAAATGAAGAGCTAGTGATCATGATTATGTTTCTTCAATTTCTTTAAAGAGAAATTAAAGAAATATGGTTCTGCTTGTTTCTTCCTGTTCTTCATGTTTACATAAATGCATGCCACCTTAGTATCCTCATGCACTAAGCCACGTGTAAGAGAAGAGACGAGAGAAGGAAATTCAAAATGAGCTGAAGGTAGTGAACTACAAGGTGACGCAAGCCTAAAAAGATTGGGCTAAAGAAGAATACCCAAAACCACACCTAGTTGAAGACTCGCAGAATTCCAAAACACCTTAGCCAACTTGTTGAAAATCGTTAAAGAAACCCGAATGTTAGAATGTAAACTATAGTGCACTGACATGCAACACATGTAACATGGCTAATATGCAAACATTTAGAACAAAGGTCAATGCTTCCTAGGAAAATAGAGACCATAAAGGGGGAACAATCTAGAGAAAAAATTGTAAGATTAGAAGGAAGGGAAGTCTGAGATAGTAACATAAAACTAAAGAATAATAGAAGAGGAGAAAAAGGCAAGAATGATCAAAAGAGATAAACTTACCAAGCTTGTTACCAATGAAAGAAGTAAAAGATTGAGAATAATAAGATAAGGGAAGACCAAATATGCAACCCAAACTCGGAAAAAAAGATTAGAAGAAGGGGAGAAATTAAAAAATAGAAAGAGTAAAACCTTGAAAAAGCAAAATACCATGATTAAGAATAAATAACGAACTCAAAACTAAAAAAAACAATAAAAAAAGACTAGAAAATTGAACAATTTAAACATAAAGATGCCAATGGAGACAGATAAGAGTAGACAACTTCAAAACATGCAGAGAATGATCATCTATAACTCTAAAGATAAAGAAATGATGATGACAGAAAGTAATGTTAGATCAACTAACAAAAGGGAGATACATGACAAAAAAACTAGACCAAAAAACCACAACATAAGAAAACTAGAACAAATGAAGAGCAAGAAGAAAATAAGAAAGGAATAACAGAAGGAAAAAAAAACACCTAAAACCATAAAAGGACAAGTGGAAAACCAAACTTAAAAGAGCAAACAAACTGCCAAGTTGAAGAAAGAAACCAAGAAGATGAGAGCACTTACTTCTCTCATGTGTGTCCTTTCGTCATAAAAATAAGAAAAAATGATAATAAAATCTCATTGCAATATGTAAATGACAATCAAATCATTTAAAATGTCATAATTCCTCTGCTATTAATGATTTTATGTTAAATAACTAAATTTTTCTTTGTTTAAAATAAAAATAATGAGTCTAGCTCTATACAGTCACAACTTTGTTTAAGCAATTGCAACTTTTATTCTGTAAATCGCAAAAATTGAATAATAAATCACAACTTTTTATATTAAATTTCTTTTATCCTTGATAAACAAGTTTTAAAAATAATCAATTCCAATCACAACTTTTGCTTAAGCAATTATAACTTTAATTCTGTAAATTTCAAAAAATTGAACAAAAAATTATAATTTTTCATATGAAATTTTTTTTATTATTAAAGTCCAAATTCTGAAAACAATCAATTACAAATTTTGCTTAAACAATCACAATTTTTATTCTATAAATTACAAAAATTAAATAAGAAATCACAATTTTTTATGTGAAAATTCTTTTTATCGTTTAGGTCCAAGTTCTGTAAATAATCAATTATAACTTTTATTTAAATAATCACAACTTTTATTCTATAAAATATAAAAATTGAATAAAAAATTAAAATTTCTCATGTGAATCGTCATTTTTCATTTTAAACAAAGGGTAATTTAGTTATTTAATTTAAAATATTAATGTAAAAAAGATACCTAAGTTTTTTAGTGGAATTATGGCATTTCAAGAGACTTATTATTATTTATATATTTTAATAAAATTTTATTCTCATTTTTCTTGAAAACAAATGCTTAACTACAATATCTACATGAGGCAAAACAACAACAATAACAACAACAACAAGTCTTTATCCCACTAGGTGGGATCGGCTACATGAATTTTAAGACGCCATTGTAAAAAAAAATGAAAAAAAAAAATTAAAAGCATCATCACTCACTACAATATGAGGATTTCATGTAGGTCACCCAATATATCTATGCTTAAAGGCTGCACATATAATAATAATAATAATAATAATAATTGGTTAGTTTAATTTTGTGTGTATAATCACTTCGGTTATTACAAATAAGGGGGGAGGGAGATATGTTACATGTTGTCCGGATCATATCCGGGATACGATACACCGGGTTCGGTTCCGCGCTATGCTATTCTTATATCCAAACACAGCTAACTCCTCGCCTTCCAGTCGCGTCAAATAGTCGTTTTGCTCCCTTCAACAAGCAGCGTCTCTCTTTCTCACTTCTGCAATGGATCGCGCTCAGTTGTTGTTGTTCGGATTGCCACTGTTCCTCTTTTTTTCCGACTTCATCGGCCTATTCTCCCCGCCTCCACCGAAGCCCCCTCATGGCCATCACCACCACCATCACCATCAGCCCCCGCCGCAGCAGCCTGGAACCTTAGAGTTCCCCTCTGAGGTATCGTTCCAGTTTCATGTGGCGAATTAATTTTCGTCTGGAATATTTTTTATGTTTCCTTTTTTTTTTGTCTTGTAATTCCAGAAACCGAGCGGTCTTGGAGGCGTGGGTATCGGTAACACTGTTATCATCAATTTCTGTGCTTCGTGCTCCTACAGGTTTTTGTGATTTTCTATTCTGGTGTTTTTTTTAAAAAAAAAAAGGAAAAAGAAACTCTGTTGCGCTTATTTCGTTGATTGTTGTTTGCTAGTGATTCATTTTTTGGTGACTTTTTGTGTGACAAACTAACATGTAATTTCATTCGTTCGTTTTTGTTATTGAGGGATTGGCCCTGTCTGCGAGTTTAATCAAGAATCAGTTGTTTGTTTAACTGTGAAGACTTCAAAGTTTTATGTTGATGATACCATATCTTTGGATTAGTTGTAGACCTGTCTTAAACTATAAATTTAATGTTCAAGATAAGTGCTTATCATATACTCCCTCCATTCCTAGCTATAGAGTAGAGTTAACCAATTTCATGGTTCTTAAGGAATGGTAGTTAATATCTTTAAAATTGTAAAAAAAAAAAAAAAAGTTTTTTTGGACATTCTAATTTTGCACTTCACTTTAAAATTAATGACCACACTAAAGTGTGTTTAGGAATTACAACTTGGCGCAACTGACGAGCAGGAATATTGGGGGAAAAAAAATAATTCCTACATCTTTCCCAATATTTAGGATCAAATGGGGCTGTAAAACTTTTCCCTATAATTAGGACTGAAGGGAGTAATTATTATTTGATGTTTCTTGCATTGGTTTGTTATTTGCATTGGCTGCACAAAATTGTGTGTAAAGAATGCAGGGTCTTGCGTGGTTGGTATCATCTACTTTGGATAAGTAGAACCACCAAGAACGACAAAGGGCACAAACACTGTGCCAGAACTTCATACATGGTGCTTAAATACAATTTCAAGTGTCCAGTTGTTTGATTCAAGTATCGGACATGTCACAGTCAGGGTACTGGCCCATTTTTGAAATGATGGTGCATCACAGATTAGTAGTCAACTAGAAAGTTAGTTCAAGAAAATTGCTTCTCTTTCTGCTTAATATTTTTTCTCATACTTTGTTCATTATTTGCATTGTGACACGTAACATTGTTTTAAGAGTGAAAGATTTACTGTTTTGCAGGGGAACAGCAGTAACTATGAAGACTATGCTGCAGAATAGCTACCCAGGATTAGATGTTATCCTCACAAATTATCCCCCACCACTTCCAAAACGTCTGCTGAGCAAAGTGGTTCCAGTTGTACAGATTGGTGTTATAGCTGTTGTTGTGGCTGGGGAACATATTTTTCCAATGTTAGGTTTTGTGGCACCCCCTCCATGGTATTTTAACTTGCGTGCTAATAAGTTTGGAACCATAGCAAGTACCTGGCTTCTTGGGAATGCCTTGCAGTCGTTCCTACAAAGTTCTGGGGCATTTGAAGTTTACTTCAACGGTGAAGTGGTTGGTTGCCTTCCTTCTGTCTTTTATATGTGGATATCTTGTTTATGAACGGTTATTTGCTAATAGATTAGATCTTTCTGTTTGATAAATGCAACCTTTCATACATATGATTTGTGTCTCTGTGCAAGTGCACTACAGGTGTCGCTTCAGTCGTTTCATTGGCATGACCTTGCCATATATTCTTTCCAGTCAATATTTTACTAGAAAGCTATTTGCTTCAAGGGAAATCCGTTGTTGTTATTCATGTCATGAAACTAGTTTGAGATCTAGTCATTAGTGTTCTAAACTTTCTGTAAGCTGAATCTCTTTAGTGTCACGGTAACTGAGTTACCCTAACACCCGAGCAAAATTAGCTACCATTTTTTCCATTATATGAAATAAATATATGTTGCTCCATCTGAAATGCTTTTATAAATCTGGGGATTTTAAAAGTTCAATCCAATATCAGACTCTTAACATATTATCTGCATATCCTTTTGCTTGGAGTAAGGCAGATCTCTCTCTACATCATTATTAATCTAATTGGTCTTTTGTTTTTCCTTCTGATTGCTACTTAGGTCAAGTATTCAATTTGTGGATGAATTCATATGCTCCAGAATACTGGACTTGCTGAATTCTTATGTGACACCAAATAATCAATACAAATAGATCCCTCCTTAGCATGTAAAGTAGATATGTACCGTCCTCATTCTTATAGACTGAGATCTTGCTAATCTCTTGTCTGCACTTTGAAGGTGTTCTCTAAACTGAAAGAGGGAAGGTTCCCTGGAGAGGTGGAGCTAAAAGATCTTATTGGCAGAAAGATGGCAAATGCAAGGCTTGCTGATGGTGTGCCAGAATTGTGGTCCTAAGCTCTTATTTCTTTCATGAAAGATGCTACCGGACGCCCCCATTGCTTAGTGAAGTAGATGCTCATGCTACAATACCAATAGCCAAGTAATGTCATGCTGCAAGGTTTTCAATTTCATCTCTGTAGTTAATAATATTGATTCAACCTAAATTTTCTATGTGCCAAAAAACCAATTTCAGTTCTTTTTAAGCTTGACTTGAGCCAGAAATTCTTGTTTACACCAGGACATGAATTCAAATATAACTTTTAGGTAAGTGAAAAGAATGAATGAACAAATATTATTTATATCTAAATGGAAAAAAAAAATACAAAAATCATAATTTAGTATTTGCCCCTTGTATTCAATCCTATTGTGATTTCAGACTGCAAATTTGTATCGTGCGTGACTTTTTTTCTCTCTTCTTGCATGTCAACAAAAACAATATACGTCGTTGGTTGATCTTGAATGTGGATATACAAATGTTGTCACAAAAAAAAAAAAATACAAATAACTGGACATCCTTGGGATGGTGTTGTGAACAGTTAATCAAATTGGGATGAAATTGGATGTCACAAAATTAGAACATGCAAGTGAAAGTTTATCCGTGTTTTCCCGTGAAAATGGAGTAGTTTCATGGGAGAACATGCATGTTGAAAATCCAAGTTGTTGTTTATTTTCATCTGGAAAGAGGCCAATGATTGGAGAGGTTACTCATGATGATGTTGTTGTTGTTGTTAAAAGGGACTCGGCCAACTCAATATTATGGGAGAATGAGAAGTAAGGACCTCATAAAAAATTATGTCAAATCAAGAATTTTAATATTGAAACATGGGAGAATGAATACTGAATTTAGGAACTTTAATTTTGAGAAAATTCTAAGTTGGCATTAATCTTTGTATGGGTCCTTCCTTGTCATTTCCCCAAATATATGGGAGATATTGTTATCATCGAAGGATATATATATACATATATATATATATATATATAAATATGTATGTAGTATTTTATAGTTGGAAAAAAATATTTTTTTTTCATTTCTTCTCTTTTTACATTTCGTTTCATTCTACATACCGAGTCTTATACAAATCGAATTCTTTATATTCATTCATGCATATATTCACAAAAAGAATGAAAGAAATGAATGTCCTTTTATATTTTATTTTTGTAAATATAAAAGATTTGAATTTATAATCATGGTTAATGGAAAAGAATGTCATTAGTCATCAGATTTTTGTTTTAAATGATAAAGGAGGTTGTATCAATATAATAAGAATTCTCAAGTTAAAGCTTTAAAAATGCAACAGCATCGATTAAATATTCAAGAAGCGATATGCTTTTAGACCATGTTAGAATTTCATCTTTGGCTTTCTTCTCTTCTTCACACACACCAATCACACACGTTGCTCTGCGAACTAATATCCTCTAGTATCCACACAAAAAAGGATGGTCTTTAATGTTACAAGCGCTTTTAATGAGATTTTGATTGTAGTTCAAATTTAAAATATTTAACTTGTAATTTTAAAAAAATATTTTTTTGAAAAGTATCAATCACAAGATTTTCTTTATTTTTATACTGTATTTATTAAAAATAAAATTTATAAAAATTTTAAGAAGCTTTTAATATTAAATCTGAATAATACTAGATGGTCAATTTATGAAAATTACAAACGCTTTTAATTTTAAGTTTGGATCATCCTAATTGGTGATAAGAAAATTTATTAATTTTTATAAATATTTATTTTAGTAAATACAGGATAAAAATAAAGATAATCTTCTAACAAAAATTTTTTAAATTATTTTTAAATTGGCCAAAAAAAATTTTTTTAAAAAATTTAAAATTTAAAATCCAAATCATCTAAATAAGACTACAAATTGGCAGAGTTGGACAGGACAGAGGTCCTATTTGATGCCCAATTTGAAATATAAATAAGCTATATTTTGTAACTCGTTGCCCAATCTTACTCATGAGATGCCTAAGCATTTTGGGCTAGGCAACATTGGGCTATACTTTCTATCATATGTGAAGAAAACTTCACTAAATTAAACTTAATAAGTATCTGAAAAAAGAGGAGTTACTAGAAAAAATAAGTAAACAATTATAAATTAATATGCCACAAAGTAAAAAGGAAAAAAGAAAATCTACTTGTGAAAGAAAGAAAGAAATATAATGAAGACTTAAACATAATAGGAACAAGAACATGAACTTTACAAATGGTGATTTATTTATGTAATTTTTTAATAAAACCACAATTTCAATGAGAGAAGTCCAGTATTATGTGAATTTCTTAGAAATGTTCTCTCATTTCATTGACTCTATACGCACAATTTTAACACTAACCTTGATATTTTAAAAATAAAGACATAATATCCATATATATATATATGTATGTATTGTTCGAGCAAGACCAAATGAGTAGGGCAACATATATTACTCATTGCCTGGCTTGAACATGCCTAAACCCTTTTAGCTTGCATTTTTTTTTTTGTAGGTTGGGTTCGAAAATTTTTATTGATCTAGGCAGGCAGTTAGACTATATGAATAGCCTTACATCTGAATTTAATCTAAGCGACCTAGATTTATCTCATCAAGCTAATTAACATTGAAGACAAATCCTCGAATATCTTTATGGTTTTTGTCTTCCAATAAAACCACACTCTTTATCTTTATGCGGCATCATCTCTCTCCCACTTCCCCTCTTTCTTTTTGGATGGCTTCCAATGGCAAAAGTCATCTTAAATAAATCCTAATATTCCTTTATGTAAGGAGGTGATGCTTGGGCTCCAAGAAAAAGACATTATTTAATTTAAATGTCACATTTAAATATTTGAGATTAATTGGTACATAAATGAAACAAAAAGTAAAAAAATAACTTAACGCACCGATAATATAGTTTGAGATAATTATCATGCAAAAAAAAAAAACAAAAAAGAAAAGGTGCATGGATTTGTATTACTTAAGCAAGTGGCAATATTGATGAGAAAGGTGGAGAATAAAGGCCCCAAATAAAATAACAAGGCATTTTGTGAAGCTCAATGTCCTTTTAATGGAAATGAGAAAGTGTAAAGAATGGTAGCAAAGAATTATGGATGGAGATAATGTAGAAAGAAATTTTAATCTTGAAAGAACCAAGAGAGAGTTTGAAATTTTTTGATAGTGAATATGAATTTGGAAAATAGGCTGTTAAAAGGGTGTGTGCAGGAAAATGAAATACTCACAAATTAATTGTCATTCAAATAATTAAAAAATAAAAAAGAACAAGACTATTTAGCTAGTTAAGATACACCAATTAAAGTAACATTGCTCATGAAATTGTTAGGCTTAAAAAAGAAAAACAAAATTAAATTATTTAGCCAATCAAAAAAATATTTAGGAGACAAGATTAAGTTAATTTAATTAACATGAGCCAACTTAAAATTTAAAAATCATATGAGACTAAGATCTTTTAACCAATGAAAGAGGAAGATTTGCACAAAACTAACGTTATTTAACCAATCAAAAATGATTTGTTCTTTTGCTAATCAGATGAGTTTTATGAAATTTGTATAATATAGTTGATTGATTGATAATTGATTCATAATATAATTGCTTTTAAAAAAGGAAAAAAAATCACATCCTCTACTTTACAAACCTTTAAGAAATGATGTATGACTTGGGAAATTTAACAGCAAAATAAGTGTAGAAGTGTAGATAAATAATAAATTATGTGTGATTTTTTTTTTTAAATTTAAAACTTCTATTCCAACATATTCTGAAATGGGTCGGGTCTCAACAGTACGAGACTCTCCTTGTTGCCTAAGGAAGCAGAGAAGAAAAAGCGCAGAAAGAAGGAATCAGCTGATGTGCTGACTGCTGACTCTCAAGTCTCAAGGCAAAATGATACCCTCTGTCTCCAAAGGACAATGCTAGATGCGAAGAGGTTATCTCCTCAAAGCCGCAGAACACTTTCGATTCTCGTGCCATCATCCGTTTCGGTCACACTAGCCTCCACACATTCTCTGGGCATGAGGCTTTTGTGCTCCAAACCTCCGATAATGCCGGGTGTGGAAGCCTCTGGCACAGTCGATTCCTCGGACTCATCTTCGTCTTCAAGTCTTTCTGATCATTTGCTGTCTTTATCTCTCAATGGAGTGCATAAACAGACGGAGTCGGTTTCCGAAGACCAATTTGTGAAAAAAGATCCTCGGGAAATTGCCAGGGAGTATGTGGGATTTGACTTTGTTTTTTCTTTTTGTGAATTACGTTTAGTTTTCAACTGGGCAAATGGTTTGGTTATTTCTTAGTGACATTTTGTGTTTACGTTAGTAAAACTTTGCTTCGGTTATTATTAGAAAGGGCGTAAAATGCAGTTAACTCAGTGTCGGAGTTCTACAGATGAAGCTTCTGCCCCGCTACATATTATGATTTGCCTTCTCTTTTGATTTTTTTTTTTTTTAATTTCTGACCATTCAACTAAAGTATGCTATTTTCATATTTTATCTTTTGGCGGGTGTTATTTTCATATTTTAGTTTAGAAATTAATACTGCCAGTAACTATTAGGAGCTGAGTAATTATGTTTACGTGCTCATTTTTCTGATCATCTCGATATCTTTTACGATTAGAGGATCTTACGCTTTGTTACTTGATGTGCTCCGAAAGGTATCAATTGGAATTATGCAAGAAAGCTCTGAAGGAAAATATAATTGTGTATCTGGGGACAGGTTGTGGGAAGACTCACATCGCTGTGTTGCTTATGTATGAGATGGGGCACTTGATACGGAAGCCTCAGAAGAACGTATGTGTTTTTCTTGCCCCTACAGTGGCATTAGTTAACCAGGTGAGCTTCTGGGCGTAATGCTTCGTTGATGCGTTGATGGGCTATGTGCTCTCTACTGCTCTGTAGCTCAGGTTGAGATTCAGGGAGAGCCTGAAATTGGCTTTTTCGAATCTGACAGGGAGTTTAGCAGGGAAATTATGCTATAATCTTATTTTAGTCATCTGGGAATCAATGAGTTTTGATGTAAGAGCTGTTCATGGTATCTTACATTGTCATCCTTGTTCTCTGGGCATTCCCCAATGAAATTTTTGCCAATGTCCTCAAACAAAGCTGTATATTCTAGGATTGTTACCATTGTGGATCTCATGCATCATAATATTGTGTAAGGAATAGTTCTTTTATGAAAAAATCCCTTTCTTTTTTTTGTTTTTTTTTAAACATTAGGAGGGATTGGATCCTTGATCTCTTCCCACACTACAATTGCCACCTAAGCTAGCCCCAGGTGGCTTTTTTATGTAAAATTCTGATTGTTTGTTTGCTTTTTTTTTTAATCTTTAGTAATCTCCAACTGAACTTCAAATGCATGAGGCCATGTTTAGTTAGCACGTTCTGAAGCATGCTTGTTGATTATCTGTAGCAAGCAGATGTGATAGAAGAGTCTACGGATTTTAAGGTTGGGGTTTACCGTGGGAGCTCAAAGCGCTTGAAAAAACATCAAGATTGGATGCAAGAGATCGAGCAACATGAGGTCATAATGCTTGTTAAGTGATATAGAAGTAAATTATGTTCTTGATATTATTGTTCTTTTGTGATGCTTTTACTTGCCTCTAAAATTTCTCTCTATTTGTGATTTTTGTTTTAGGTTCTTGTTATGACCCCTCAGATACTTTTGCGCGGTTTATCTCACACTTTCATAAAAATGGAGATGATTTCTCTTTTAATATTTGATGAATGCCATCATGCCCAAGTCAAAAGCAACCATCCATATGCAGAAATCATGAAAGTATATATTGGTTATGCTCAAATTCTTATCTAATCGTTTACATCTTTCCCACCCAATGGACTTCTGTTGTTTTTGTTGTATTTTCTGGCGGTTCTTTTTCTACAAAATTTGATTTACTAATGGCGTAGGTCTTCTATGAACGGGAATCCAGTAAGATTCCCCGCATCTTTGGCATGACAGCTTCGCCAGTTGTAGGGAAAGGTGAGGCAACTTTACATTTGTTTAAAAATCTGATCCTTGACACAATTCTTCCGCTTCCCTTTTGACATAAATTTTTTCTTTTGTTAACTTTCTGCTCAATATTTTTTTCCTTTAGATAATTCCACTTGTAGAATTTCTTCTCTCGATTTTTTGTTTCAAATATTTTTGTTGCTTCTCTCTTTTAGAGTTTGTTCTCCATATCTAATTAAGTAATAGTTTTATCATGAGCATTAAAAGCTTAGTAACATGCTGATTCAGCTTGGACCTAGTTGTTGCTCAAACCTTGCTCTCTAAGCCCCTCTTATACTTTTCAGAGGTATTTAGTGTCTCAGGGAGCTATAGGATATGGCTTGGGGACATTTAAGGATATTTTCTAACATTGGAGATGGATGAAACTGAGAGTCTCCATTCCCTGCTCCTATAAGATTGGAACCATTAGCAATTGGAAATTTTCTATTACTAGCACATGGGATGTAGTTACTAAATTGATGAGATGAATTTTTCATGACATCTATAGCCCCTAAGTCAGTGACCCAAGCAGTTAGAATAGGCTTATATGAAGACCATATGAATTCATTGTTTTACCATTGTGGGCAAACGAGCAGGTTATAGTATTGCTAGATGTCATTTCTAGAGTCCCCAACAATTTTAATCTTCTTAGGCACCTCCCTGTTAAGACTTCCTTCCTGAATGCTTTTCACTTTTTGACTAATGTAAGTGATCTTTTCTTTGAGGTTCCTTCTGTTCATGTTTTGGAGACTTCCCATCTAGCTTCCAGCATCATTCTCTGGTGCATCTTGGTTTCTTCCAAGTAAAGATAGAATTTCACCAGAACTTTCTCAGAGACTACCTCAAGTAATTAACCTGGTCTTTGCTCAAGATGTGTAATAAAAAAATGAGGTCACAGTGCAATCAGGTAAGTTTCACATTGCACTCAAATGTCATATCCAAAACATCTCTTGGATAGATGATTAGTGAGCAACTGATCATTTGATTGGTAATTCCTCACTTTTTGATACCTTATGGTTGTCAAAAATGCTGATGGAACCTTGTCCAAAGTTGCTGTTGTTGGGACAGCAAAGATATTTGGAGAATTAGTTTAAGAAATGTATTAATTGTAACCAATTCAAACCTGTAATTTGCTAATTTGCTGTCTATTAGCAAGTTCTCTCAAGTATCTTAACAGTTTTGCAAAATTTTATCCTAGTGGCTGTCATTTTTAGGATTTGGGTGGAGATAAGATAATTGGCAATGCTAAGGAGGTCCATGGATATATCTCATCTATGAAGCTGAGAAAATATGACTAATAAATGATGTTCATTTTTTTATTTGTTCTCTAAATTTTTGGGTTGTAAAATTTCAGGTGCTTCTAGTAAAGGAAATCTATCAAGGAGCATCAATAGTCTCGAACGTTTGCTTGACTCAAAGGTGAGTTCTGTGGAGTATAATAAACTGAAATAAAAAGATCTGGTAAAATGACAGAATTTTGTACTACTACTTGTGCTGGTGTGAACGATTTTATGGCTGATTTTTTTTCCCTTTCTATTCTATTCAAGAAAGAATGTTTCTTTAGGGTGTGAATATTTTTACTTATCATGAAGCTTGGTTAAAATCGTATAATTAAATGAGCCTAATATCTTGACCACCTTTACTATTGGGTTTAGAATTGTTGAAATGTGGCTTGTGAATCCCAATCTAAGATTTATAGTATTTGAGCTGTTTTAAATTCTTTTTACTACTTTTTCAATGTTATATTTATTTTCCCTGTGTGAACCCTGCTTGTTAAGATAATAGCAGATGGGAACTTTTTTTTTTTTTTTTGGGTTGATAGTTATGTAATTGTGTCGTTAGATGCTGATGTTGATCAAGATCATTGATTTGGATTTGCAGGTATATTCGGTCTCGCAGAAAGAAGTGGATACTTTTGTGGCCCCTCCTGTAGTTACTATATATTATTATGGTCGTAGTGCCAATGAACCATTGTACACGAATTACTGTACCAAGCTATGGGAGATTAAATGTCAGGTATGCATTTAAAACATGTTTTAGGATGTTATGTCATCTAGAAGAAGATTTTCTTACTATTCCATTTTGATGAGAACAGTGCATAGAAATCCTTAGAAGCAGTACAGAATATCACTTGAAACGGAGGAACACAAAGAAACTTCTGAACCGAATGCATAATAATGTGCTTTTCTGTCTGGAGAATCTTGGCGTTTGTGGAGTATTGCAAGTAAGACTACGTTGTCAGATTATAATCCTTGGTTACTAAATTTGTTGGACTGAAAAGGATGATGAAGGTAATCAATTGTTTACCTATATTTAAATATTGATATATCAATATATTTTTGAGACATTTAGGGTTTAATATTCCTCTGAACTTATTTCATTTGTTGATACTAAAAATGAAAATAGACTCTTATTTCAAGTAAAACATGTAACTTCAAAAAATAAGATAATTTTACCAGTCCAAGTTGGCTGGCGTAATTGATGGGAGGGTCTTATCACTTAAGTAAGTGGCTGGGAGTTTGAATTCCAACTCTTGTGGATATAGCAACTTAGTTGGAAGGGGTCTACCTTTTGCATTAGTGCCAAAGGAGATAGTGCCAAGGGAGATAATCTCTAGTATTGGCAGGTCTATTTCTTGTGCTCATTAAAAAAGGCAGTTTATCCTAATTAAAATGAAATATTTAGCCTAAACTTATTCTAATTAAAATTAAATATTTAAACTAATCCTAAACATATATAAACTTCTCCTAAAAATAACTTAAAAAAAAGTACCTTGGCTTAAAACTAAAAGTACTAAAATAGACACATGATAGACAATCTCCAAAACTCCCCTTTGAGTTGGGTATTCTGAAACTGGAGCGAATTTGGTCCTTCTTAGTCATTCAGTTGCTCATCCAAGACATGATTTGATTGTTTCTTGGACACCCAGATTTTGTACTTGTGGTTGTTTGAACTTGAGGGGCAGCATCATAGTGTAAGTTTTCATGCTGCTTCCCTTGATATGCTTAGCGTTTTTGGTCATTTCTTTGCTCATTGGCTGGGCATTGGGCAATGTGGTTGGTTGACTCCCATATTTTAGTGGAGTGCTGTTTATAAAATATAGAGAGGAAAGAAAAGAAAACCATTGAGTGAAATGTGTTCAGTGCATTTTGACTTACGTGAAGGCTATGTTTGGTATGTTGAAAATGGATTTGAGGAATGGGAATGTTTGGTAGATGACAATGTTACTTTCTTGGAAAGATATTTTCCCATGTTTATGGGAGAGAGTTCTTCCATTCTTATTCCCATTTGCGCCAAACAGGCTGAAGTTTTGTTTTTACAGGAAATGTTACAGAAAACAAGTCACTAAAGATTCATTACCTATGGAATAAGTGAATAATTTCCTATTCATTACCTGCCTAATTGTGACATATCAGTTATAGAACAAAAAGCATGTTATGGTTAGCCAGCTCCAACATACATGGAGCTCTGTATTTGTAGGAGAGGTTACTAGACAAGTCATTAAAGACTCGTAAATACAAAGTAATATCGTACGCATTACCTACTTGCAATATGCCAATTGTAGAACAAAGGGTTAAAGGGCAGTTTTGCCCTTCAACTATTCCCTCAGGAGTGTTTAGTATCCTAAACTTACATGTGGTGCAATTTTTCTCTTCAACATTTAAAAATGGTGCATTGGGCACCTTGCTGTTAAAAAAGTTAACTTTAACCGTTAGTTGACCTAGAAAATTACAGAGAAGAACTTAAAAAATAGATAAAAAAAACTTCAAAAATTAGAGAAAAAGACCCATAAAATTACAAATAAATACGTTATAAGAAAATTAATATCAATTAAATCCTTAGAATAGTGTGATAATTTATAAATATTTTTTCAAAATTTTGCAAGTCCTTCAAATATTCGCCGTTAGTGTAAAAAATGCATTCATTTTATAAAATAACAATACATTAGTTAAGTTGTAAATTTCTAAAGAATGTGTAAATCTCAAAAGTTAACTTATAAATTGTATGAAGATTTGTAAAAGAAATATAATTTTTTTAATTATTTATTGGCATTGCTGCTAGCAATTTGTGATCCGTTAATAACCCAATAACTGGTCAAATTGGTTGGTCAAAATCCTATTTTAGTCTTCTACATGGGTAAGAAATAATATTCATATCCTGGTATTTATACATAATTTAGGGGACATAATTGGTATTAATTTTCTTATTGGGTACTTATGTGTAATTTTTTGAGATCTTTTTTGCAATATTTGAGGTCCTTTTCTGCAACTTTTAAGTCAACTAGTGGTCAAATATAACTTTTTTAATGGTAGGGTGCTCAATGCATCATTTTCAAGTGTTGAAAGGAGAAATTGCATCCCATATAAGTTTATGATACTAGACGCTTTTGAGTTTTGAGTGAATAGTTGAGAGGCAAAAATGTTATTTAACCTTAGAATAAAACACATGATGCCTACTCCTTATACTTTAACCAAAAAAAAAAAAAACCCTGCATGTTGCCTATTGTTGAGGAGCATTAACCAGCATGCTACTTTTATGTTTTCCGTTTTATTCTTTTTATTATTATTTCATTTTTTTATTATTCTATGCAACCCGATTAGATTCATTATTAGATCTGATGAGGATTTGTTTATATATTATTAAGTTAAATATATTAGGTTTCCTGATTTACCCTAGATTCTATTAGGCTATGGAGATAGGTGGAACTAGTTTTAGTGCTCATCTATAGAGCTCATCGCCTTTGGTTTGTTTAGATCTAATTTTCATGGTCCAGATTTATAGCTTTTCAATGGATGTTTTTAAATAAAAAATTACTTTTTTTGGGAAACTGACAATTAAGAGATTGTCTTTATTTTAGATTATGTTTCCATTAAAACAATTTTTTTAAATAAATTTGGACCATCCAAATTAGATTTAAACGGTCAAGAGACGACGAGCTCTTACAGATGAGCACTGAAACTAGTTCTGGAGGTAGGCGTGTTGTCTCCTCTGTAAAAACTCTTCTTTGCACCAGAATAAATGCATTAAATTGAGAAAATATTTTGGCCCAGTTGATTTCTTCACCTATGGTAATTGATACTTAGGTTATTCACATTCCAATGCAGTTACCATGTAGAAATTTTGGTTTATAACTTATTTTATTAGATGAAAGTAATGTTGCATATATAGATGATAAATGGGGAGACAGACTTCTGCTCCAACTAAAACTTTAACTCTAAAAAGTAAGATAACTGTATCCTAATCAAAATAACATAACTATATCTTAATACATAATAAAACACTTAAACCTAATTTTATTCTAATCAAAACATAACATTTACATTTTAAGCTGACCCTAAATGAATAGAAACGTTATCCAGAAAATAACTAATAAAACAAATAAATCTTTGTTAAAACAAAACAAATAAAATAAAAACAAACTGAATCATAATTGATCCATAATAACTCATTACTAACACATATCATTTCCAAAAGAACATCATGTAGCAATCATTTGTTCTTCACTGTTATCACTATAATTAATTGTGTTAAAGGGCATTTTTGCCCTTAAACTATACACTTGGGAGCATTTAGTATTCTAAACTAACATGTGCCATTCCCCTCTTCGACATTTGAAATGGTGTATTGGGTATCCTAACATTAAAAAAGGTAACTTTGACTGTTAGTTGACTTAAAAATTATAGAAAAAAAGGACCTCAAAAATTACAAAAAAAGACCTAAAAAATTACACATAAATATCTTATAAGAAAATTAATATCAATTAAGTTCTCTAAATTACATAAAAATACCAAGATACAGATGTTATTTCTTACCTAGGCAAAAGACCAAAATACAATTTTAAATTACCAATTTAACCTACTACTGGGTAATTAACAAATCACAATTGTTGGCAACAACACCAATAAATAATTAATATATAATTTTTTTTACTAATATCATATTAAATATTAACAATTTAATAATAATAATAATAATTGTTATTATTTATTAATTTTCACACCCAATTTACAAGTTAACTTTTGGGATTTACACATTCTCTAAAAATTTACAACTTAACTTGTGTATATGTTATTTCTAAATGAATGTGGTTTTTACACTAGTTGTTAATTTTTGAAGGCAGATTTGTAAATTTTTGAGGAAGACTTATAAATTATGATACTATTTTAGGGATTTAATTGAAATTAATTTTCTTATAGAGTACTTATTTGTAATTTTATAATTTATTTTTTTTATAATTTTTGAGGTCTTTTTCTCTAATTTTCTGAGTCAATTAATGGTCAAAGTTAATTTTTTTTAATGGCAAGGTGCCAAGTGCACTATTTTCAAATGTTGAAGGGAAAAATAGCGAATAGTTGAGGAGCAAAAATATCCTTCAATCCTAATTAATTTGGCATGCCTTATGGTCTTGTAAACAACTTTTGAGATTCTAAGATATGCAATTAATATTAAGGATTTGGTAATGACCAAAGTAATATGGATGAAGTTGGTTTATTGTATCAAATAAAGTTTCTTATTTGCAACTGTTGTTTGTGGTCATGTTTCATGTAAAGCTAATGAGCTTCCACATTATCGCTTTTTCACCTCCTTATATATTATTATGTATGTAATGTATGAGAAGGTTGTGGCTTACTTCATAAAAACCAAATTATTATATTTACACATTGTGAATGCATTATGATTGTTAAGAGGGATGTGTGACTTTTAGCATGCGCCATGCTTTTTTGCTTGCTCTATGTTATGCTTTGTTAAAATTGCCATTAAGTCCATGTGTTGGTGTATTTATCTTGAAACATCTTTTGATCATGTAGAGCATAGAGTAGTAACTACTTCTATGTTAAATGGTGAGAAATATTCAAATTGGGAAACTAAACAGTGTAGGAGGGGAACTGAATTTACTGTGTTTTATTTCTCTTAATTTGATGCATTAAATTGGAGCATAATAATGCAAGAATTTTCTAGCATAAGATGTTTGCCACTCAGAACTACTGAACTAGGATAGTGTCTTCTGGCCACCATATAGTGCTTGACCTCTATTCATTGAAATCAAATATCCCTTGAATTTGTTTAGAGAGGATGGTAGCCTTGTTGCATTGGCCTGTACTGTGAGCTCTTATAGTTTTTGTTATAGATTTTTCTCATGAGTTTGGAAGAAAAACTTTTTTTCTTTTCCTTTCCTTACTTTAATGGATATGTTCTTTGAAAAAATAAATGAAATTAAAAGAGGGGGACAGCCCTATACAGAATTGATATTAGCATATATATATATATATATATATCTATGAAAGGTCAGCAGCCGTCAGATATCTATAAACAGGACTGGATGGGGCTGCTGATCCATGCAAACATTCATACTTGTTTCAGTTATTGGCTCGCTAAGCTTTTTGGGGTAGCCAGATTTTCATCTCTTTTAGGATAGAGTAGATGTGGATTTTTTGGCTTCATTCTGGGTTTGAGCTCATGGCTTCTTCTTCTTCTTCTTCTTATTATTATTATTAGTATAAAAAAAAGAAAAAAGAAAATGAGGGGGTATTTCTAATGCTTTCCCTAAGGAGTAGAACTCATTTTAGCTTGGTGTTTTTTCCTTTGTTTTTCTATTCTTTTCCGCGTAGATTTAGGGTTTCTGTTGCTCAGTCTTTCTACTTTTATTCTTACATTTCATGACAAGGTATTAAAAAAAAAAAAAATCTTTGCTTACAGTAGGCCGTGATTATTTTTTTCTGCTGATGTTTTTTTCTTCACTTGATAACTTGCCGTCTTGGTTTTTTTATGCTTGCTTCGTATTCACCCTTCAAGGCTAGTCGTGTTCTTTTGAGTGGTGATCACTCTGAAAGGCTTGAATTTGTGGAGGAGGAAGGAAGTGCAAGTGAATACTCTTTTTGTGACAAATATCTAGCACGGGTGTCTGAGTTCTTTATTTCTGAATGCATGAAAGGTACTTTAATTTTGCTAGGCCTTTTAGTTGGAGCTTTGCAGTTGCTTAAAATCTGTAGGCTGTTACTTCAAATACTTCACTAGTTGTTATATTCACTGTTATATCTGCTTTCATTTTTTCTCCAGCAATAGTCATTTTCTACGATATTTTAATTATTCACATGTGGTTAACAGAGTCCTTTTATTATGCAGGCGTCATTATAGTGAAAATAAACATACTGTTGTTTGTTCTCTGAATCTTTAGGTGACCATTTGTCTGATCTCTCTTCTCTGGACAATTTAAAAGAGCCTCTTTTCTCAAGAAAGCTTTTACGCCTCATTGGGATACTGTCCTCATTTAGGTTGGTAGTCCAGTATCACTTTTGATTCCCATGACTGACAGATATAAATAGGCAAATCTTGATTTTGCTTCTTGTGTCAGGCCACAACCAGATATGAAATGTATAATTTTTGTAAATAGAATTGTTACTGCAAGATCCCTGTCATACATACTACAACAGCTCAAAATTTTAGCACGTTGGAAAAGTGATTTTCTGGTAGGAGTTCATGCTGGAATAAAAAGTTCATCGAGAAAGACTATGAGCATCATTCTTGACAAGTTCCGCAGTGGAGAGGTAATACTTTATATTTTCTGGAATAGAAAGTTTGTCAAGAAGGACTACAGGACGGTGCACTATTCACTATATTTGAAAAGCCTGTCTTGCTATATGGGGCTAAAGTTTGATGTGAAATGGCTAAAGTTCTATAACTTTTCTTACATTAATGACTTGTTCATTGTTGTACGAATGTTCTTTCAGATGACTAATTTTTATAGCCAATTAGTAATTATTTATGGGATAGTGAATTTCTTTTTTCTTTTCTTTTTAATAGCACAGTGGTCTTGTCTTTACTTTTGACTTTAACATATATATTCTTTAGTTCATTTGAAATTCCGCATACACTTGTCAGTTAGGCAATTTTTTGTTTTATTGATTTTTTTTTTGCATGCATTACACAGCATATCACTTGCTTCACTCAAGTCACTTCATCTTGGACCTTTGTCTTTTTGAAATTTTTATTCTAGATTTAATTAAATCATTAAATTTCATTTTTTTCCATCTATAATGATACTTGAATTTAAAACATTGTTGGAAGAAATATTGTTTCATGTCCTTGAGCACAAGCAACATTTTGAGATTGTAAATCATTCCTCTTGATAGTCTTGGATATTTTATATGCTTGGGTTACTCTTTTCCTGCAACAGAATTTGAAGAAGAATCTTTTAATATTAGAAATCTAGAATATTAGGAAATGTGATGGTGAGGTAAGTATAAAGTCTCATAATCATTTACTTTTGCCTTCACTCAGGTGGCAATGAGTTGTTGATACTCCCATAAGAGGCAATGATCAAGTTGTTCTGGCTTATTTGGAGCTAATAATTTGAGATTGTTGATACTTGTTAGATCCTAAATAAGACCTAATGTAATTATTGCAACATGCTAATTTTATTGTGAAATTTTTTAGTGCTATTGCTATTGGTGTTTTGTTTGTCTTAAAAGATGAATAAGATAAGAAAAATTGTATATTGCATTGGGATTTGAATTATTATCATATATCTGGGAGCCACTGGGATAAAGTGAAACATTTCTTAATGAACTTCCTCTCATGTACTTTCTATCACAGTCATGGCAAGGTGCTGATTGGAAATTAAATGAGGGTAAATAAAAGTATAATGATCATGATGGCTCAAATATGTGTATATGTCCCCAGTTTTTAAATATTTGATACTTTTTTAACATGCCTATGTGGTTCATATGGTTAACAGTTGAATTTATTGGTTGCAACCAAAGTGGGTGAAGAAGGACTTGATATTCAGACATGTTGCCTTGTCATACGATTTGATCTTCCTGAAACTGTTGCGAGCTTTATACAATCAAGAGGTCGTGCACGTATGGCTAAGTCAGAATATGCATTTTTGGTGGACAGGTACTGTATTATAATTTAAATGCTGGAAATAATTTCAGCAAATTTGCCCATATAGTTATTTTTGGAATCTTCTTGATATTGCAGTGGCAATAAGAAGGATATGGACTTGATTGAATGTTTTAAGGAAGATGAAAACCGTATGAACAAGGAAGTTGCTTTCCGCACATCCTATGATACACATATCATCCCTGAGGAAAGAATTTACAAAGTCATATCAACTGGCGCTTCTGTCACTTCTGCATATAGTGTCTCATTGCTTCACAACTATTGTTCGAAGCTTCCACATGATGAGTATGGGTTTATTCTGAATTAAACCTTTTGTTTGCATCAAAATATGTAGTTATGTACTCATCTACTTACTATGCAAGGAAATTTAATTTACATCTTTTACTGATCAGGACATGGCAACCTATAATTTCTAGTTTTGTACTCATCTACTTACTATACTAGGAAATTTAATTTACATCTTTTACTGATCAGGATGTGGCAACCTATAATTTCAGGTATTTTGACCCCAAGCCAGAATTTTTTTACTTTGATGATTTAGGGGGAACTGTCTGTCACGTAACATTGCCTTCCAATGCTCCCATACATCAAATTGTTAGTGCACCACATGGTTCAATGGAAGCTGCTAAGAAGGCTGCTTGTTTGCAAGCGGTTGAGGAACTGCATAAATTAGGTGCTTTGAGTGATTGTCTGTTGCCAAGGCAAGATGAGGCAAACCCAGAGGAGGTTTCAGATTCTTCTGATTCAGATGAAAATGAAGGTCTAGCTTTAGTTGCTTTCTTTTCTGCTCTCTCATTATCTGTTAGAAGTGTTATTATTTAGTCATTTCTATTTTAGTTATGTTATTAGCCTTTTATGTCTTTAATTGTAATTTTCCCCTAGAGTAGCCCCTCTTAGGTCCTTAGTCATAATTGCTTCATTCTAAATTCAATAGAAGTGAGAATTCTGCACTCTATTTTTGTCATGATATCAATTCTGGGGCTTGGTTAGAGTGAGAAACATTGGGAACTTTAGAGCAAGAGACATGTTTATCCAAGCTTTGGGCCCCTATCCTTGCCTTTGTTTCTTGAGCAGATAGCCAAACATTCTCCCCCCAGGATGATCCTACATAAAAGTGGTCACATCACATGTTTCCTAAATATGATAAGCCAAGAATCCTTTGCCTAATTGTGCTTCTCCACTTCGTCAAATGAATGAAGTTTTGGCTTTGAAGCCTTTTTTTTTTTCCCCTTCCCGTATATCCACCAGAGAACTTTTTTTCCTGCATATGCAATTAATTTCCTCATTTTGTCTTTCAATGTGAAAAAAACTATTTGACCCAAACACTCTAGGAACCTCTACAGAACCTGCTGACTAGCAACCCTTGTTGATTAGACCACCTTAGTCTTTCACATGCATTGCCATGGGTCTCCACACACTACTATGCATTCTTGAAACAGGAACCACCGATTGAGACATGAGAGAGTTTAGAGCTCTTCCACTAACATCCTTTTCATGGAACTCTGATTTCCAGTATGGCTATCCTAGCCTTTGTTCCCCCTGTAGAAGAATCAACACTATAAATGGTCACATTAGCCCTGCCAGTTTTGATTTGTATGGTGTCTATTCCGGCAATGTCAAAGGGTGCATGGTTGCATGTAGAAAAATGTGGTGGCTCTTGCAAAGTTGGTGGTTCTTTAGTCAGCGCAGGCAGGCCAATCAACGAGTTCTATTAGGGTTCTGATGGAGACTAAGGTAGTGTAGGATTCGTCTTAAAGCTGGTAGTTGATGGCTCTAGAAATGGCTAACTGTGGAGAGTTTTAAATGTTGAGGAAGCGGGGTAAAATGTTAAAATTAAAGTGTTGCAGATTGTAGCTGTTAAGATGTTAGCTCTCCTATGGGGCCAGTTGATGGAGACTAGAGTAGTATTAGTCTCACGTTAAGTTGTATGAAATGTTTTATAGGTCATTTAATGGGTTGGTTCTCCCACCTCAATAACTAGCTTTTGGCAGACATTCCCCATTTCTTTCAGTTTTGCTACAAGGGTTACAAAACTGAAAGAAACTACTATGGAGAAGAAATGGCACCATAAGTGACTAGAACAAAACACAATAACTACAAAAGACTGATTGGAAGAGAAGAAGGTGTAGTTAGAGCTCCTAAGCATTTGGGCAAAAGTCTAGCTCTGAGAATCCTTACAGCTTATTTCTCTCTCTAAGAATCCTTTGGTACCATAATTGGAAATTTGAAATTCTCTCTACAGTTGTCTTGAATGTGGTGAAGTTCATGGGTATTTATAGATAAGGAAGGCTACTCTAAGTGACAACATTATGATGAGGATTATTAGGGAACAATGAAATGAATAAATAAAATAAACTACTATAATTATATTATTTACAAATTACGATTCAAGCACTTATAACAATTATTTTTGGGCTATGCTATAAGATGTACAAGTAACGTTATGTTGTGTTGACTATATATACTTCCATCAACTCTCAGATGACAACTCACGAGGAGAATTATATGAGATGCTAGTTCCTTCAGCCTTTAGGCAGGCCTGGTCACATTCAGATGATATTGTCCATCTTAACTCTTACCTTTTAAAATTTAGACCCTCTCCAGAGGATCGGATCTATAAAGAGTTTGGTTTATTTATGATGACACGTCTTCCTGCGGAGGCTGTGAAATTGGAAATTGATCTTCATCTTGCTCGTGGTAGAACTGTGATGACACGATTTGTTCCATTTGGTGCTATTGAATTTGACAAAGCTGAGGTAAGTGACATATTTTTTCCTTTCTTTTTCTTTTTCTTTTAAGTTTTTAGATCAATGCACTAAATTTTCCAATGTGCAGATTCAGATGGCACAGCATTTTCAGGAGATGTCCCTAAAAATTATTCTTGATCGATCAGAATTTGTTCATGAATTTGTACCCTTGGGTAGTTCTGATGTCTTGCAAACAAGCACCTCAACCTTCTATCTTGTGCTTCCAGTAATAATGCAAGACTGTGAAAGGACTATGTCAGTAGATTGGAAGACCGTGAAAAGATGCCTTTCTTCACCCATTTTTAGGCCTCCAGGTCAACCTGTAACTCCAAAATTGTTTCCTTGGAGAGGGAACCTGCAACTTGCTGATGGTTGGAAAAGTGTAAGCGATATTGAGAATAGTTTAGTATATGCCCCACACAAGAAGCTGTTTTATTTTATTACTGAGATTGTTTATGAAAAGGATGCACTGAGTCCTTATAAGGATTTGGGCAGTTCAAGCTATGCGGACCACTTTATTAAAAGGTTATTTGCTCACTACTACTGTGTATATATATTTTATTCTCATTGTAAATCCCTTGTTCTTCATTATTGTATAGCATTATAGTAATGTTTAAACAAAATTTCTCATCTCGCCTAAACTTTCTTTTACCAAAAAATAAAAATGTGAGTGTAAGTTGGGTATTCTTATTATGCTTTTTAATAAGAATGATAAATGCTCGGATGGCAGGTTTTCCATTCATCTTAAATACCCCAAGCAACCGCTTCTCTGTGCAAAGCCACTATTTAATTTGCACAACTTGCTTCACAACCGAAAGCAAGAGGATACAGGTACATGGTTGAATATATGCCTGAAGTTGTTATATTTTCTTTTCTCTGCTTTCTTTCTTTTTTTGTTTTTTGTTTTGTTTTGTTTTTGTTATGACAGTTATTAGGACTTAAGCCTTTATCAACTATAGTGTAGTTAACTGCTCTGTGATTTTGTCTTTTCTTCTCCTGATGAAGCATGCCATTTCTTGTTAGAATATATTGTATTTATTGTAATTAGCATTAGTTGGTAGTTGGGGGTTGAGCTTGCCTTTATTAACTGGGTAATATTCTCTTGTATATATTCCTCTGTACAGATTACATTTTTTAGTATGAAATAGAGAATATTTCTCTCATATTTCATCATGGTATTAGAGCTTGGACTCTGAATTTTCTAGGGTTGCTTTTTTTTCCTTCCCTTTCTTTTGTTTTCCGGACTCTCTATGCGTTAGGGCTACTGTGCACTCAGACCCACTGTCACCAGATGTCTATCATCTACATGTGTTGGTCCTTCACTCTCCCCGGCCATGGATCAGTCAATCATCTCAGTTTGGTCACTGTCCGATGTTCTAGATGCCTCCATGTGCCAGTCACCAGAATTTGCCCTGCTTCGCTTAGTCAGCGTGTGATAGTGTGTCTTGTTTTTTGTGCGTCGTTTGCGCCGCTGTGATTTTCTCATCGTCCTCTCTGATTTTGGGGTGATTTCATCTATATCTACTTCCCTTCTTGCTTAGACTCTGTTCCAGCCATGGTAGAGGTAAAAACTGCCTCTGACAATACGGGTTCTTCTTCATTCGGCACCTCTGGGAACTGCCAAGTGTCCCAGCAGCTTATAGGTTGAATAAAGCCAGCTTTCTAGCTTGGTCTCAGTATGTTCACACCTTCTTGAAGGGCTGTGAAAGGCTAAGTGATTTACTTAGGACTAGTCCTAAGCTAGGGATCTCGAGTTTGATGTTTGGGATGAGGCAGCCTCAATGGTAATGTCTTGGTTGTGGCAATCTATGGCTCTTGAAGTTAGTTGTACACGTTTCTTCTTGTCTTTAGCTAAGGAAATTTGGGATATAGTGCATCAGGCTTACTTAAAGGTGAAGGTGCTGCCCAAATTTTTGAGATAAGGACCAAAATTTCCAATATAAGGTGGGGAAGCAAATATATCATTGAATACTCTCCCCTTATGAAAAGCTTATGGCAAGAATTAGATCATTATCAGTGTATTACTTTGAAAGACCTTGATGCTACTGCTACTTTTAAATGCTTCATTGAGAAGTACAGGATTTTTTAGTATCTCGCAGGACTTAATGTAGAGTTTGATCCCATAAGAGTTCAAATTCTTGGCTAGGAAGACATTCCTTCTCTCAATGAGATCATTGCTATTGTTTTAGCAGAAGAAGGTCACAAGGGTGTGATGATGGAAACCCAGTTGATGGAAAGTTCTGCTCTAGTCTCAAAGAATATTTCCAATCGCCTTGTTGAGGATGGAAAACTATATGACTTATCTACGGCCTCTAACGAGGAACCTATCTGGTGCTCCCATTGCAAGAAACTATGGTATACCAAGGATAAATGTTGGAAGTTACACGGTAAGCCTCCAAACTTGAAAAAGGGAAAAGCCCATGTTGCCACTGATGCTACTAGGGAGCACTCTAGCCAAGCTGGTCTTAAGGGGGAGATTGAAAAATTAAGATCCTTGTTGTTAGAGTCACTTAACAAAGCTTCTACTTTTGGTTCTAGTACAAGTACTTGTTCTTTAGGGTTCTCAAGTATTTCCTTTCAATCTTCATCTGTCTTATTTTCACCTATTTTGCTTCCTCAAAGAGAGATTTTTTTTTTCGCTTTTGGATTGTTGATTTTGGAGCCTCAAACCATTTGACTAATTCCTCCAAGAATTTTATTTCTTATAATCCTTGCCTTAGTATTCGGAAAATCATGTAGGGTGATAGATCCATAGCTACTATGACTGGTTAGGGAGATGTTAGGTTGAGTGATAACCCTGTCTTTAAAAATGTCTTGCATGTTCCTAAACTATGCACAAATCTCATTTCTGTGAAAAAACTTGAATGTTTTCTTCTCTTCTATCTTGTGTTTTTAAGGAGCAAGAGATGAGTCAGATGATTGGTTTTGCTAAGGAAAGAGATGGACTTTATTTTTTTTTTTTTATGAGCTTAGTGAATGTAGTAGAATTCAAAGCTTGATGGCTTCTTCCTCTCCTTATTCAAAAATAGTTGAGTCTAAGCAAAGACTAGATTTAGCTTCATCACCGTCGTTTGGGTCACCCTTTGTTTAATGTTTTGAAAATCATGTTTCCTTCTTGGTTTAAAGATTTAGCTGTTGAGTCCTTTCATTGTGACGTTTGTGAGTTTACAAAGCATAAACAATCTTCATATCCTATGAGTAATAAAAGAATTTCTATTCCTTTTAGCCCGATTCATAGTGATATTTGGGGTCCCTTTAATGTTCCTAAGTGCTACTGGGTCTCAATGGTTTATATCCTTTATTAATGATCGCGCCCATATAACATGGATTTATCTGCTGAGACAAAAGTCTAACATCAGCATTGTTTTCCCCTCCTTCTATAACATGATTTAAACTCAATTTGGAGTTGGGATACAAAGGTTCAGGTCTTACAATTGAAAAGATTTTTTTCAATCTATCTTTATCCCTTTTTTTCCTCGGAAAACATGAAATTTTCATGAACCATCCTATGTTAATACTCCCCAACAAAATGGGGCAGCTAAGAGGAAGAACAGTCATCTTCTTAATGTTACTAGAGCTTTATTGTTTCAAACTAATGTGTCTACACAATATTAGGGAGAAGCTGTTTTAACTGCAACACATATGATTAATAGGCTTCTAACCCCTATCCTTGTTTCAAAAAGTCCTATGGATGTTCTCACTTAGTTTTTCCCTAATTTTAATTCATCAAATGGTCTCATACCTAGAATATTTGGGTGTGTGGCTTTTGTTCATATGTGTTCTCAACGAAGGACCTAACTTGGCCCTAAAGCTCTCAAATGTGTGTTGGTTGGGTATTCCTCTACTAAAAAAGGATACAAATGTTATAATCCTCCTCCTAGGAAGTTTGTTGTGTCTACTGATGTTGCTTTTTCTAAATCTGACTCTTATGTCAATACTCCTCTTGAAAGAGAGAGTTCTCTTAGTGATGATCAAAATAATGATCTTCTTTTCCATGAATTTCCTAGTTCCTTCCCTGGTAAGTCTTTGGAAGCACCATCAACTCCTAAATCTACTCGTCCACTATAGGTTTTTACTTGGAAGAAGAAAAGAACATCTCAATCTACATAAGTTCAGTTATTTGAATCGGCTCCTGCTCAAACTTTTGAACTTGTGCCTAAAAATTGTGAGGTAACTTCTGATCTTCTTGAAAACACTGAAATTACTTCTTCAGGTTCCCATGATGTTTTTGATAGTCAAGATGTACCTAGAAATTATTTTAAACTGCTTGATTCTAATCTACCTATTGCTTTGAGAAAAGGAACTCGTAGTTGTACTAAACGGTCTCTATACCCTTTATCTTCATTTCTTTCATATGACAAATTGTCTTGTAGTTGTAAAGCCTTTCTCACTAGCCTACATTTGATTTCAACACAACAAACCTTATTTGAGGCAATGAAAGTTAAGGTGAAAGCACTTAAGAACAACAATACACGGGATCTTGTTTGATTACTAGAAGGAAAGAATCTTGTTGGGTGTAAATGGGCCTTTGCTCTGAAATACAACTCTGATGGCTCCTTAGATAAGTATAAAACTCGACTCGTTATGAAAAGGTATACGTAGACTTGTGAGGTTGATTATGAAGAAACTTTTTCTCTTGTTGCAAAAATGAATATTGTCCCCATTTTACTGTTTTTGGCAACTATTCATAATTGGGAATTACTGTAGTTTGATGCGAAAAATACTTTCTTATATAAGGACTTAAAGGAAGAGATTTATATGGAGATTTCCCTTGGATTTGATTCATACTATAGCTTGCAAGCTTAAAAAGGTTCTTTATGGATTGAAACAATTACCAAGGGCGTGGTTTGGAAGGTTTTCAAAGACCATGGTTGGCATGGGGCTCAAATAGAGTCAAGGTGATCATACATTGTTTATCAAACATTCTGCTTCAAGGGGGTAACATTTTTATTTGTTTATGTTGATGATATTATAGTCACAGGAAATGATGTGGAAGGGATTCGGTTTTTGCGAAGTCAACTGATGAAAGAATCCTTAATGCAGGATTTGGGGAGATTAAAATATTTTTTCGGTATTGAAGTTGCTTATTCAAGGCATGGCATCTTCATATCCCAATAAAAGTATGTTCTTGACCTTCTCACTGAAAAAGGAAAATTGGGGTGTAAACCTATAGACACTCTAATTGAACGAATCATAGACTTTGAAAGGAAGGAAAGCGTACTAGCAAATCAAAGCAGAATCAAAAACCTAGCAAACCTCCTCTTCCAGAGCCTCCTATCAATATGGAATCTTATCAGAAGCTTGTTGGGAATTGGTCTAGCTAGCTCATACTAGACCTGACATTGCCTATGCAGTGAGTGTGGAGTGCCAATTTATGCATGATCCTAGAAAGTCTCATCTTTAGGTAGTTTGTCAAATACTCTTGTACTTGAATGGTAATTTGGGAAAAAGGTATTTTGTTCAAGAGGTGGGGAAGATTGACCATTGAAGCATATACTGATGCTGATCATAGAGGCGATATGGACAATGGAAGGTCTACATCTGGCTATTGTACATTTTTGGGTTCAAGCCTCATCACTTGGAGAAGCAAGAAGCAAGATGTGGTGTCTAGATCAGGTGCTAAAGTTGAGTTTAGAGCTATGGCGCTTGGAATTTGTGAGTTATTATTGATAAAGATCATTTTATCAGATCTAAGAATTAAGTGGGAAGGCCTAATGGCACTTTATTGTGACAACAAGTTGGCTATCAACATTGCACATAACCCTGTTCAACATGATTTGACAAAGCATGTTGAAATTGATAGACATTTTATCAAAGAAAAACTAGAAAGTGGTCTTATATGTACTCCCTGCATTCCTTTTGGTGATCAAGTGGTAGATGTTCTCACAAAGGCTTATCTGGTGAACATTTTCAGCAGTGTCCAAGCTGGGAATGGAAAATATACATTCTCCAACTTGAGGGGGAGTATTAGAATATATTGTATTTATTGTAATTAGCATTAGTTGGTAGTTGGGGGTTTAACTTGCATTTATTATCTTGGTGGTATTCTCTTGTATATATTCTTCTGTACAGATTTGCCTCAATAAATTGTTTGGCATCTTGAGCCAGAGCCAGATTTCACTTTTCCCAGAAAATTTGGATCAGTTTTATTGCATGTGTACAATAGTTGGGGAAGAAATATTAGTTTTCTTTGTGATCTGGTGTACTTGGTTACGAAAAAAATGCTACAATTTTTAAAGATGTCTTGGCAACTCTAAATGAATTTTGGGAGAAGAGTCTTGTCTCTAGCTTCCCTTTGGTTATCTGTTCATGTTTTTTTTTTAATTGACTTTCATTGATCGGGATGGTATGATGAATGGGAATTGGTTGGCGACTTGGCATTGTCATTTTCTTAAGTTCATGTTTCTCTCTCTTCACCTATGTACCCGGTCATTTTGTCTTTTTCTGTTTTAGGAGGCTGTCTTGAACTCTTCTCTATTAATTTTCTTTATTTCTAATAGAACTTCTTGCCTATGTATGACTTTGGAATTTATGGTTGTAGTGCAAGTTGTCAATTACCTTTGGCTTCCTTCTTGTTTCAAAGGATTTTTGGCCTTATGGACATCATTTTGGCTTGCTCTTTCTTTGGATTAGTTTATATGGAAGAATATTATCATTAGCTCACAAATGATCCAGAATTAAACCAAAACATTTCATTCTCAGTATGAAATCTTGGATTACAACATCAACCTAATTATGCATATTTTTCTACAATTATCCATTCAATCATGTAAATCAACCAATGTACAGTCAGTAATTAGAAAAAACAATTATGCCTAAATAACATGAATTTCATTGAGTTTACACTTTCTAGTGTTTGAGCTAAGAATACTAAATTTGCTAGTTGATTGGCAGGAACTTATGTGCAATATAATTGTAAAAGAAGTTTAAAACAATCTTGGGGCTAGATGCATTATATAGTGAGATTTCTTCGCTTGTCTCATTTGATGATTTCCTGATGTGAAATGAACAGTGGGAAAGGGGAAGAGAGGAGAGAAGAGAAGAGAAGAGAAAAGGAAGGGGGGAGAGGAGGTTGAGAAAATAGGAATTCTTTATTCAATACTCAAAATCAAATACAAATGAGGAACCCTAAAGCTATTTATAAAGTCATAGAAATATTAAAATAACAACAAATCAAATCCTAAAAGATAATCTAGATTTACCTAGATATCTTATTTTATTTGAAATAAATAAAATCTAAAATAATCCTAAGAGATATTGATAAGAAAATCTAATTAAATCCTTAATAATCTAATGGATATTCTAAATATCCTTATGCAAAAAATACTAATAAAATAATCATAAAGAACTAAAATAAATTTAATAATATTTTATTCATATTATCATTTCTCCCTACTTGGGGTCTCCTCCAAAGAGTTAAATTGGATGCACAAATTTGGGAGGGATGGAAACTTCGCATTATGCGCAGATCTGAAAATCCTTTCTAACAAGTAAGGTAGTGGCGGACTGAGTCATGTGGAAGATGAACTTGATTATAAGAAAACTCTAGAAAATCCTTCCAACAGAAAAGATATTGCTGAAGTTGCTTGCTATAACACATGACATTCTTAGCGGGTGCAGCTTGTAGACGAGGTGAATCTATAGTGTAGCGTAGTTGGTTTTGGCAAATCACAACTTGGGAGTGTGCCACTTGCATAACAAGTAGAGGAACTTTTATTGGAGCTTCTAATGGAGCCTGTGGTGGTAAAAGTGCTGGAGTGGACAAACCACTCATGATTAGGCTTCAAGAATTGTAGTAGACTCCTCCAATTCTAGCATAGGAGTTTCAACCTCTATATGCTCACTAGCAAGATTTTGTTGACTCAGCAACTCTGTAATTTGTTGGCAAATCTTCCTTATTTTTTCAAATAGACGTGCACCTTCTTGGAGGTGATGTTTCAATTTAGTGTTGAATTTAGCTCTGCAGCTTTCAAATTCAGCTATTCGCCTTTCTAATGTAGCATCAAAATTTTCGTCCTCAGCAATTTGTTGTTCATATTTTGCCCTACGACATGCTTCATAATAGCACCATTGATTATAGGCATGCTAATAATTGCATCTATCTTTGAATTTTTTTTTTCCCTTTTGTAGACTTCGTGATATTGAAGATGTCGAACACGTTGAGGTGGGGTGCTATAATACTTTTGACACTCCTTGCATGGGCATTCATGGTGATATCCCATATAAATCATGAGTATAAAAGTTCATGTTAAAATTTGGGTTGGATATTTTTTTGGTAGATCCTAAAGAAAGGCAACCTATGGAGGGGAGGTGGAAACTGGTTCTGGTACCAATTGATGTGAAATAGGTAGAGGGAAAGGGAAAGGGGAAGAGAGAGAAGAGAAAAGGAGGAGAGAGAAGAGAGACTAAAGAACACTTTATTTGATGATCAAAATTGAATACAAATAAGGAACCCTAGAGTTAATTATAGAGCCTTAAAAATGTTAAAATAATAAAAAATCAAATCCTAAAAGATAAAGATAATCTAGATTTACCTGGATATCTTATTTTATTTGAAATAAATGAAATATAAAATAATCCTAAAAGATATTGATAAGAAAATATAATTAAATCCTAAATAATGTAATGAATATTCTAAATGTCCTTATTCAAAAATCCTAATAAAATAATCATAAATAACTAAAATAAATCTAATAGTATTTTATTCATATTCCATCACTTCCTCTCTTGTGGTAGACAGTACTATAAAAATATGGATTGAAGGAGGAGGTGGCGTTAAAAATTTTCAGGGGATTTTGATTCTTCCCCTTATGTTTCTACATGTACAATGGGTGGAATTTTATTACTGTTTTCATGCCTGGTAACTTGAGGAAGAAATTATAAAGATGGGGCAGTACAGTAAAAGAGGATGTGGAATCCTCCTATATTTAGTGGAAACAAGAAAACCTGGGAACACATTGTTCTAATCTCTTCATAGATCCAGAAGAGAAAATCCCTTGTAAAATGCTGTGCTGATACCCACACTGAAGTCAAGTAGACAACTCTGTCCCATAAGAATGTACAGGAAGAGATATATGCTGAAAAATTCTGGCATAGAACCTTATATCATTGCGTCCTTCTTATATCATTATATCCATAGACCATATCTTTCTTAAATATGTGTGCATTTCTTTATGCTTGTGCATTAGGCTTTAAAAGAAGTATGTCTCAAGTACCATGGATCTTGCATCTTGTTTTGGATTTATGTTGATGAATATATTCGACAAATGATTGTAACTTCTTATTTTCAAGAACAGAAACTCAGGAACTGGAGGAGTATTTCATCTATTTGCCTCCTGAGCTTTGTGAACTAAAAATTATAGGCTTCTCTAAAGATATTGGTAGTTCCCTGTCTTTGGTACCATCCATCATGCATCGTCTTGGAAACTTGCTGGTTGCAATTGAACTCAAGCATCTGCTACGTTCTTCTTTCTCTGAGGCAGATGAAGTCAGTGCAGAAAGAGTAAGGCCTTGTCATGTATATATGAACTAATTGTTCTGATAAGACATGTATTTTCTGTCAATTTATCATTGCAGTGCTCATATGGTATGGTTAGATGCAAGATTAACAATTGTGAAAATTTACTAGGTTTTGGAGGCACTCACCACTGAGAAATGTCAGGAGCGCCTTTCTCTTGAAAGACTTGAAGTGCTTGGTGATGCTTTCCTTAAATTTGCAGTTGCACGCCATTTTTTCCTCATGAATGATAGCCTTCATGAAGGAGACCTTACAAGGAGGCGATCAAATGTTGTAAATAACTCCAATTTGTTCAAGTTAGCTACTAAACGGAATCTGCAGGTAAAATTGTATTATCAAATCTCATTTTCTCTGCAGCACTAATTCAGAGGGCTAGCCTCAATGCCTTGAACAAGACTAGTCTCACACCTAAAGGATGCTTGTGAGAAATCAAATGTCATCTTTGGGAGAGGATTATTTTATTTGCCTATGGATTTCAACAAATGGTTTGTCTAGAAGTATGTCCCTTATGAATATTCAAAGGGATTGGAAAGAACTTTCGAGTTAAAAGAGTCTTGGTTATTTTCTTTAGTATTTCCTTTGTTTTTGGAAGATATCTTATCCTTCGTTTTTGTATTGTTCAAATCTCATCAAAAAATTCTCTTTTCTTATCCAAAAATAACAAAAGATGATCTCTCTGTGATCTTTTGTTGGATTCTTATAATATGCCTGTTTCCCCTATAACCAGCATAAATGTTGAATAATGTGAATTTAGTTATGAAAGCATCTTGGGTTGAAGGGCATTTTTCATGGGATTAATTTAGGTGCCTTGGTGTAGAACAACCATTAGAATTAGAGTAGGTTGGGATTCAGGTTTCTTTGTATATTAATACTGGAAAACTAGTGGAGTTTTGATAGGTGCTCGAATAATCAGGAAAATAATAAGAACAAATCTATTAAGATGACATAGAACAAGAGTTTTGCTCTATAATTCTCTCAATAGCCATGCTTTAAGAGAATTTTCAAAGGGTTTAAAAGATTGTTATATTGATGATAATGATATGCTAGCTTCTAAGTTACTAGTCGTATTTATAGGACCAAATACAATTTAAAATAAGAAATCTAACTAATTAGATAATCAAATAAAATCTCCTAATGCCTAAATCTAGATAAAATACTGAATCAAATCTAAATAAAATAAAATCTAAAGAAATATATATATTAAAACTAATTTAAATATCTAAATAAAATATCTCTTAAAATAAAATAATAAAATCATTCCCAATTTAAATCAATCCTAATTTATATTTTGACGCTTCCTTCTTGAATAAGTCTTTATAAGAGATTTATCTGGAATCTTATCACCACCCCCCTTTTGAAAACTCAACTTGTCCTCAAGTTGAAAAGCATGAAATTGAGCATGTAATGGATCATAGTCCTTCCAACTTGACTCTTCCATAGGCCGTTTGTGTCATTGGACCAACAGCTCAAGGGAGTGATGATGAGTCCATCGATGAGCTAAGACTAGGTGAGGCCCACATGTAACCCAAGATCAGCCAATAGTGGTAAAGGAGCTGGTATAAGCGGCGTGTTCATCCCATAAGCCGGTCACAAGAGACATACGTGGAAAATAGGATGAATACAAGCATTTGTGAGCAGTTCCAATTCATAAGCCACTTTCCCAATCTTGCGAAGAATCTTATAAGGGCCAAAGAAATAAGGTGATAATTTTTTGAACTTGCGCTTGGTCAATGATTGTTGGCAAAAAGGTTGTACTCGAAGCCACACAACATCGCCCACAACATACTCCACTTCCCTTCAATGCTTGTCAGCATAAGCTTTTATTCGATCCCAAGCCTTATGCAAATCATCCCTTAAAAGTTTGCCCATTGCTTCCTTGCTCTTAGTTGATCTTCCAAATCAGCTACTGGGGTTTCTCCTTTCACAGAAGGGAGCAGGGGAGGGGGGTCTCGTTCATAAACCAACTTGAAAGGAGAAGAGTTGGTGGAGGTATGATAACCTATGTTGTACAAATATTCAGCCCAACAAAAAAACTTGTGCCAAGATTTGGGTTGCTCATGGGCAAAACATCGCAAATAGGCTTCAATAGCTCGATTTACCACCTCTGTTTGACTATTTGTTTAGGGATGGTAAGCAGTGCTTATCTTTAACTTGGTTTGGCTTAGTCAAAATAATTCTTGCTAGAAGATGCTTATGAAGATAGGGTCCCTATTAGAGACGATTGATCGAGGCACCCATGAAGTCTGATAACTTTCTCTCAAAAGATTGTGGCAACGTTATTTGCAGTGTAAGGATGTGCCAAAGCAAGAAAATGGGCTTACTTACTTAAACAATCCACTATGACTAAGATGACTTCAAAACTACCTGACTTTGGAAGACTGGTGATAAAATCCTATAAGATGTCTTCCTAAATTTGAGAGGGTATCGGTAAGGGTTGAAGAAGTCCGATTGGTGCTAAAGTTTGACACTTATTTTGCTGACAAGTGGCACAATGTCTCACACACACCTTCACATCTGCTTTCATTGCTGGCCAATAAAAATTCTCAGAGAGATGCTTAAATGTTTTAAGAAAGACTCTGTGCCTGCCAATAGTAGTAGAATGGGCCTCTGTGAGTAACTTGGGTCACAAATGTGATGAATAAGGGATGACTACCTTGCGATCATAGAAGAGTGTTTGATTTACTAGGTAGAATTTGGGCCGTGATGACTGATCTTTCTGTCAATCTTAGATTATGCCATTAGTGAAGGGATCTAATGTCAACTCCAAGGGTAAGTCTTGTAGCTCAAAAGTGAAAGGTACTGCTAATTGAAAAAAATCTGCATGCTGTGGTCATCTAGATAATGCATCTGCTCCCTTGTTTTCCACTCCTGCCTTATGGATGATAGTAAAATTAAATGGTAATAGCGTGATGATCAATCTCTATTGAGTATTAGTGGTGATGTGTTGTTGTAGTAAATATTGAAGACTAGTGTGATATGTTTTGACAAAGAAATGCCTCCCTAGGAGGTAATTGTGCCATTTTTGGACTGCAAGAACAAATGCTAGTAGTTCACGATCATAAGTGGACTTGAAGTGGTTGGAGAAAGAGAACCCTTTATTAAAGTAAGCAATGGGGTGGTTGTTTTGCACAAGTATAGTGCCAATCCCTTTTGTGGATGCATCGCATTCAACTGTAAATGCCTCCTCAAAATTGGGCAATTGTAGGATTGGTGCAAGCATTAATGTGCATTTAAGGTGATTGAAAGCCGTTTGAGCTAGTTCAAACCCTAAGAAGGAATCCTTCTTAGTGAAGTCAATAAGAGGTTGCGTAATAATCCCAAAATTCTTCACAAAACGCCGGTAATGGCCTTCAAGGCCTAAAAACTCATGTAACTCCTTTACATTCTTAGGGGTTGGCCAGTCACGTATTGCTTCCACCTTTTCAGCCTCAACTTCAACTCCTTAGACAGAAATGTTGTGCCCTAGAAAGGGAACTTATGGCTGCCCAATAAAGCATTTTTTTTTTAAATTGACACACAACACATTTTCCTGTAGGGTCTGCAAGATAATGTGTAGATGGTCTCGGTGCTGTTGAAAGGAGGAACTGTATGTCAAAATATTATCAAAGGAGATCAATACAAATTTGCACAAATAGGGGTGAAATAAATTGTTCATAGCTGCTTGAAAGGTGGCGGGTGCATTAGTTAAGCGAAAGGCATGATTGTGGACTCATAGTGCCCAGAGTGAGTTCGTAATGCTGTTTTGTAAATATCCTCGGGTTGCATCCTGATCTGGTAGTATCTTGATCTTAGATCTAGTTTGGAAAAATAAACCGCTTCATGTAATTCATCTAATAACTCATCAATGTTGAGAATTGGATACTTATCAGGGATTGTAATGCTATTCAAGTTTCGGTAATCTACACAAAAGTGCCATGAACCGTCTTTCTTTGTGACTAATAATATTGGGCTGGAAAATGGGCTGGAATTAGGCCGAATAAACCCCTTTTTTAATAATTCTTCAAGTTGCTTCTCAAGCTTAGCCTTTTGATAATACGGATACCTATATGGTTATATGTTGTGCAGGTTAGTCCTTGGTAGTAAGGGGATGGTACGTGAGTGATTTCTAAATGGTGGCAAGTTTGTGGGCTCTTCAAAAATAAATGGAAATTTTGAAAAGAAAGGTTCTGGGTTGAAATTTTGGAAAGGTGTAGAGTTAGTGGAAGCCTCTAGTTGTTGCAATGAATTAAACTGAGCACCTCTAGTAGTGTTAGGGACTCCTTGTAGCTTATATCTCCTGCCATTCAACCAGAAAATCATAAAGAGTTCATTCCAATTGGCTTGCACCGTATTAAGAGATGCCAGCCACTTAATGTCTAGTACTAGATCAGCCCCTCCCAAGGAAAATGGGAAAAAAATCTTCTTTAATAGTCAGCTCTATGAGCTTAACTTCCACATCTTTACATACACGGTTGCAGCATACAATACTGCTATCTCCAATTTGGAATCCGAATGCAGAAATATAATGGGTGGGAAGATGTAATTCTTGTGCCAGTGAATCTGAAATAAAATTATGAGTGGACCCACTGTCAACTAATAACAAGATGTCTCATGTGAGTAGTGTCCCTTTAAGTCTCATAGCTGCCCTGTGTTGCTACCCAATCTAGGATTTAAAGAAATTTCTGCCCCTTCTGTGGTAATAATCTTGGTTTCACAGCCTTTTCTAAACTGAACTTTTATTTCTGAATGACTAGCTTCTGAGTTGCTACTGTTAACCTATTTATATAGATGCGGATGCATTGGAAATTATTAAATAAAATCTGAATATTCCCTAAAATATCTGAAACAAATTCCAACAGCTACGAAATAACAAACTGAATGTTGGGAACTACTTCAACACAAATATGGTTCCTTATTCTACTAAACAAACTCCTAAAATCACTCAAGGATAATTGTTCGAAATAAAGACTTTCCACTTCATTGTTTATAAGGCCGATCACTACATAGCTGCTGGCAGAGAAAGCTCTTCAAGCTCCCCTGCGTTCGTTGCTAAACCAAGGTCCCAGGTCCCTGAGTTAGCCTGCTCTTTTTAGAAGAATCTTGCAGCCATTGGCATGTGGTCTGGCAAGCCTTCCCTTTCTACCGGTTTGAATTAATCAGCAGCAAAATTAATAAAAATAATCTAATTCAGTTTTCACGCTTTCTTCTTCTAAAAGAAGTGTAGTGGTTTCTTATCACAAGTCTTCCTTTCAATCACTCCATTATATTGAGGAGCGTATGCACATGATGTTTGATGATGAATCTCATGCTGTTCAGGGAACTCTCTGAATGGTGCACTCGCATATTCCCTAGCATTATCACTTCTAAAGACTTTGATTGTGGATTGAAACTGATTTTTCACAAAACTAAAGGACTTTTGAAAAATCTGTATCACTTCTGATTTTTCTTTCATTAAATACATCCATGTCACCTAGGTGTGATCACCCCTAATGTAACAAGCCACCTAGCATTTGAGAAGGTTTTAACTCTGGTCGGGCCCTAAATGTCACTATGAATTATCATGAAATGTTCAGCCGGTTTGTAGGGTTGTTTTGGATATGAGGACTTGGTGTAGCTAACTGGCTAGTATCACACTGAAAAGAGATATAATTTTTATTGAATAAATTTGGAAACAAATGCTTCACATAATTAAATCTGGCGTGGCCTAGCCTAAAGTGCCATATTATATCTTCATTTAGAGATTCAGAACTAAACAAAGCCTTTCCTACTTCTTTATTCTTAGTATTCGATCCTTCAATGTAATAGAATCCATCCCACTCTTTAGAACTGCCAATCATCATCTTTGATGTTGAATCCTGAAAAATACAACTAACATCATCAAATATCACCCAACAGTGTCATTTTACGTATTGACAATAGGTTACATTTAAGTTTAGGGACAAACTAGACATTATTTATTTCAAGATTCTCTCATAATTCAATTGTCCCAATTCCTTTCGACTTTTTGAAAATGCTCTATGACCACTGTAAATAGTTGCTGCCATTTAATTTGTGAGCAATGACCATCTGTTGTGTCTCTAAAGTCGCACCCATCTTTGTACCCATCATTGAATATGCAACAGATTGGGGGCTTGTCAATATGCTGGATTGTGTTTGTGGAGTCACCCCTGTCACCGACTCGAATGAGGGGTTACCTGTGCTGGCTGTGAATGCTTTAACAGTGCCGAACAGAGGAGGGAAGTTGTGGAAGGTCATCAAGTATACCAAAGCTCTGATAGCATGTTGAAACAGAGCATATTCTCCTCTGTATATTTTATTCAATGAATGAGAAAAGATATAGAGGACTCTGCTGTACTGACTATGCTGACCAGTCCAAGATTACATCATAAAAAAACCTATTCTAATCAACAGAATACTAATTGAAAATAATGAACAATAAAAATGCTGAAATAGTAATAAATAATGAACTTATGAAAGAGTAAGTGAAACTCAGTATATTGGGCTAGGGCTTTTTGGGTTTCCAGCACTGCAGAGTAAAGATTTGTCACCCCTAGCTTTCTACTGAGACTTTCAAACTTCACACTTGTCACAGTTGTCATAATTTTAAAATTTTGTTATTTTTAATGAAACAACTATGCATATCCTTGTTTCTTTCTCTTTCCAGGTGTACATTCGCGATCAGGCATTTGATCCTTCTCAGTTCTTTGCATTGGGCCATCCTTGCCTAAGAGTTTGTACCCCGGAAACTGAAGAAAGCATTCACTCCTGTTTAAATTCTCCAGAGGAGCAGGGAAGATCATCTGAAGTTCGTTGCAATAAAAATCACCACTGGCTTTATCGGAAAACAGTTGCTGATGTCATTGAAGCTCTTATTGGAGCATTCATAATTGACAGTGGCTTTAAAGCAGCCACTGCATTTCTTACATATCTTGGCATACAAGTTAAGTTTGAATCCTTACAGGTAGTCAATGCTTGCAAAGCAAGTATGGGTTACATCCCCCTTTCCATGCATATAGACATTCCTTCCCTTGAAGATGAGTTAAAGTATCACTTTGTCCATAAGGGTTTACTTCTCCAAGCATTTGTACATCCTTCTTACAATAAGCATGGGGGTGGCTGTTATCAGGTTAGTCATACCTTCTTGTAAGAACTATTCTTCATTACTTGATAGCAGATACAGAAGGATAATCATGTAGTCCACATTCTTTCAATTTTTGTAACATTTGACAATTTTGCGCAGCGATTGGAGTTTCTTGGAGATGCTGTCTTGGATTATTTGATTACTTCATACCTTTACTCCGCTTATCCACAGCTAAAGCCTGGTCAATTAACAGACCTGAGATCAGTGTCAGTTAACAATAAGGCTTTTGCCTATGTCGCAGTGGGTAAAGGATTTCATAATTTCCTTTTATGTGATTCTCATGGTCTGTCTGATGCAATAGAAAAGTATGTGGACTACATTAAAGGATCTAAAGCGCATTCTGGTGTTCATGGAGGGCCAAAATGTCCCAAGGTATTGTGAATGACCCTTTTCTGATGAAGCTAGATCACCAAGATGCCTTTATTTACTTATTTATTTTTATAGAAAACAATCTTATGGATAGAAAGGTTATTTTTACTTCATTATTCCAATGAAAAATCTTTATTGAAATATCTGTTTATATCATATTAAGAGAGTTCATGCAGGGAGCAGAATATATGGTTAGGCGCATAACTATAAAGACGACACTTGTATTTTTCTTGAGCCTCCTTTATATGTATATGAAGCGTTGAGTATAGGCAGACCGTACATGTGATTTTCCAGTATTTTAACTATGAACATTGAGGAAAAAAAGGAAAAGACAAGATTTTCTTTCAAATGCAGAGAACAGTAAGGTGTAGAAGATCCAAATCAAATTGAAGTTGAAGTTCATGAAGTTTCATATCTGAAGACTGTTTATTCCATAATTTGGATTCACAACTCCTCTATCTTGTACTTTTCAAAATCATTTTTCTTTTATTTAATAAAAGTTCCTTTTATTAAGAGAGGAGGATAGTGTGAATGTGGTTTTTGAAAGTTCTATATGGATATTGTATTTTAAACTATAAAGTAAATTGATGTACTATGACTATTTTTGCACCATTTTCTGTCATGTGGTTTGGGTTTTGGACTTGGTTTGTGAGTCATGATGTATCCTAGGAAGGCAGTTTATTAGTTTGTTATAATCTGTGTTCTGACTTGAATCTTTATTTTCATTAGTAAACATTTCTGAGGTTTATATTTACGCCTTTCTTTGTTTCAGGCCCTAGGTGACTTGGTAGAGTCTTGTGTTGGTGCCATTCTGGTTGATTCTGGTTTCAATCTGAACAGTGTTTGGAAGATTATGACTTCATTCTTGGAGAACATAATGAAATTTTCGTCAGGCTTGCAGCTTAGTCCTATTAGGGACTTGCAAGAACTTTGCCAATCTCATAGTTTGGACTTGCAGTTTCTGAAATCCAAAACAAGCAGAATGTTTTCTGTTGAAGCCAAGGTGACTGGGAAAGATGTATCTGAAACTGCTTCAGCAACCAGCATGAACCAAAAAGAGGCTTCTAGAATTGCTTCACAACTAGTATTTTCTGAATTAAAGGTGAGACCAGTATAGTATGCTCATTTATGTTCCTTCACATCCTCATTTTTGGAAGTCTCAAGTCTCAGCACCTTAAAATTTGCATCTCTTCTCACTGTTTTGATCTGCTAGGATTTCCTATAAACACTCTGATATGAAAAAAAGAATGTAGATAGGTAGGAAAGAAGAAAGAAAGTTAGAGGGATAGAGATTGTAGGTAGAAGAATGAAACTGATGAAATATAGGAATAACATATTTTGAAGAAACCAAGGCTAGTAGATTATTATTATTCTATTTCGCTTTAGCTTGTAAGAAACCTACCTAGGTTGAAGCTTCTTTTTGTTATTTTAATACTTTTGTATAGAGGGAAGTCTGAACTTTAGCTTATGTGGACAAGTTATTAAGGTTTCCTTAATAGGTAGGAAAGCTTAGTTTAAATAGACTAAGTTGGCGCTTGTAATGGACATTTGATGAATGAATATTTTGAGTGTTTTTCTGATATTTCTTTCTTCATTTCTTCATACTTTCTTTCCCTTTCCTCATCTCACTGTTTTTGTCTCTCATCTCTGCCCTCTATTTCGTTCTTCTTTTCCCCCCTCTCTTTGTTTCTATTTTCCCATTCTCTCCCTCTATTTTCATTTGAGTGTGTGTGAGTTCCATGTTAGTTTGGCACTAGAGCCTATGTTTCTTCGTTCCTTGGGTGCTTCCATTACCAGAAAAACAAAGAAACTCGCCGGAAATCTTCTTGAACCCTCTATTTCATGCTGCTAGAGCCAAAACACACACTTTCAAAACACAAAACAACCACTACCATCGTGCTCAGATGGAGGAATCTAGTCAAACCCAGAAACCCCATGTCCATCCGCCTTTGCATGCCAGTGGAGCTCGTTGCATGTGGGATTAACATGCCGGCCACATGCTGGCTGTGTAGAAACCTCTAGAACCTGATTTTCTGAATTTTCTGAGGTGTTTTGTGAGGTTTCCTCTGTTCTGACCAATTTGAGACCTGAATCATCATCTAAAGCTTAGTTGGGGGTAAAATTTCATCTTTTAGGCTTCAAAAGCCATGTTGGTGAGGCCGATGACCCTCTTAAAACTTATTTTTCAATCATTTTCTGTGTTGTTTTGCATGGTTCCTTCTATTCAGACCTATCCCACGTGCAAACAATAATTTGTGGAAGTTTAGTTTGCATTTGTTATGCCCAAATTATTAATATTTACCTTGAGGAATCTCATAAGGCTCATAGGGAATATGGGGATAAAAAAATTCAGAAGTTGAAGGAGTATATGAATAGTAAGTTTGACAAAATCTTAAGAGCTCTCAAATGTTTAGGCCAACAAAGAGATATGGAGATGACTTCCTCAAGACAAAATTATGATATTTTCAAGGCACAAGAGAATAGTACCCTCATCAAAAAGGCTTCCCTACATTAGTTGTACCAAAATGGGACACTAATAGTACTAAAGGTCTTGTAGTTGGGAGTGAAAGTATACCTATGAAAAAGCTCAAATCAGTAAATGGAAATGACGTAGATGTTACTATGAATCAGGAGAAAGAATTTGAGTCTGAAGAAATCTCCATAAAAAATGAGGACATTAGTCTTTAAGTGAAGCAAGGCTTCAAATTATTGACTAAAGATCATCACTTAGATGAAGCAGAGACTAATGAGTAGGAGCAAGTTAGGGATCTTGACAAGAGGAGTGTGCAACTTCATCAGATTCCTATTTCAAATCATCTATGTGCTACACCATTTGCTGCAAAAGTTGTTTTGGTTATGAAAGAACATATTGTTTTCCCATTTGATAACAATCTCTACAACTACCTTGTTCATTGGGAAGGTTTTCCAAATCACTATCATGTTAGAAAGGATCTCCAGATTAGTTGTTACTTGGAGGGATTCCCTGTATTGCACTTTAGTGGAGTTACATCAACTTTTTTACTCTCTGGAGGAGAGTTCCATCGAGCAAGTTGAAAATGATGAAATACAAAAATAAAATATTTTGAAGAAACCTAGGGTAGTAGATCATTATTATTGTAGTTTGCTTTAGCTTGTAAGAAACCTGCATAGGGCGTAGCTTCTTTATGTTATTTTAATGCTTTTGTAACGAGGGAAATCTGAACCTTAGCTTCATATGGAAAAGTTATTAAGGTTCCCTTATTAGGTAGGAAAGCTTAGTTTATATAGACTATGTTGGCACTTGTAATGGGGATTTGATGAATGAATATTTTGAGTGTTCTGATATTTATCTCTCTCTTTCTGCGTTCTTTCCCTCATCTATCTGTTTCTGTCTCTCATCTCTCCCCTTTGTTTCGTTCTTCTTCCTCTCCCTCTCTTTCTATTTTCCCCATTCTCTCCCTCTGTTTGCATTTGAGTGTGTGTGTGAGTTTTGCATCAGAAACTCTTCATGATTGCATTAACAAAAACAATCCTCATAAATGAAACAATCCTTACTGGCAAACCACCTTTAATTCTTGTTGTCAGTCATTTTAATTAGTTCCATTGATCTCATCAGTTGGGTCTTTTGTGTCGACAGTTCTTTTAGCTGTCCCTGAATGTCCAACAACCTATGCTTAGTTGTTGATAGTTTGTGCTCTATCAGGTTTGCCACTTATTGTTCAGTAGGCAGACTGTGGAAATCCCATTAATTGTGTAAATAGTAAATAGGCTTGATTTGTTTTTATTATTATCCCTTCTCCTTCGGTTCTGACCATTAGAATTAATGGTGATTATTCCTTCCCTAGTCATAGGCTAGAAATCAGGGATTAGATTAGCCTAGCACTGTGTATATATTGTAAATCGCATGTTCATGTTCGGAAATATACAATTGAAGCATTCAGTCGACTCTCTCTCACATGGTATCAGAGCTTGAGGGAGAGATCGAAAACGTATCTGATTCGGAAACGGAGATGGAGCCGACTGGAGCGGTACGCGACACCCAGACACGATCTGCGACTGACCCGAGAGACTACGATAGCATGATTCCGAATCAGAAAGAAGGAACGAACCACTCTGCGAGTGATTCTCGGGGGTTCAACAGTCTGATTTCGAGCCAAAAGGGGGGACCATACGCATCGATGCCGAGCTTAGAGGGCTCAAACGTCCTCATCGTCTCTGAAAAACTGACCGGAGACAATTACCGGGAGTGGGCACAGACGATGAAGCTCTCTATCGAAGGTCGTGGACGACTGGGCTTCCTCAATGGCGATTCTGTGATTCCAGATGGCTCAAATCCAAAAGCTCTGCGCCTTTGGAAAAATGAAAACTCGATGGTGGCTTCCTGGCTTATTAATGCGATGACTCCAACAATAAAAAGGAGCTTTATGTATCTACCTACTGCAAGAGAGATATGGGAGGCTGTACGAGAGGCATATTTCGATGGAGAAAATGTTTCTCAAATGTTTGAAATCAGAACTAAATTGTGGCACATGAGTCAGGGTTCCCGTAACCTTAATGATTATTATCTTGAAATGACTGCTCTTTGGCAGGAATTGGATCTGACTAATGAAGATGCCTGGAAGTGTGCTGAGGATGCTGCCCTGTTTAAAAAACGCATTGACAAAGAAAGGCTATTTGAGTTCCTAGCAGGACTCAATCCAGAACTTGATGCGGTAAGGGGGAGGATCTTGAGTCTCGTACCATTACCATCTGTCCGTGAAGCATTTGCTGAAGTAAGACGTGAAGATGCACGTCGGCGTGTTATGCTGAAAACTGATGCCAAGGGGACCACTACTGCACCAGAACCATCAGCACTTGTCACTAGAAGTGCAGATCCAAGAGGCCAGAAGAATAGACCAACTTGTGAACACTGTAAAAAGACAGGTCACACCAAAGATACCTGTTGGGATATTCATGGCAAACCCCCAGACTGGAAACCAAAGAAGCCAAGGGGTCGTGGTTATCACATTGGCACAGAAAAGAGTGATGATAGGCCCACAACACCTCAAGTACATCCAGCCACCCAGCAGTTCCCTTCTGAACAATTCGCCAAATTCATGGAATTTCTTAATACCCTCCACATGCTTGGCACAAAACAACCAACAGCCACGGTAGTCCACAAAGGTAACTTCCTACAAGCCTTACATGTCATTCAGCATCTGTGTATTGCAAATCCCTGGATTGTGGACTCAGGTGCTTCTGATCACATGACGGATAATCGAGAATTATTCTCCATATATACTCCATATAGTGGCTCCCTTAAGGTTAAAATTGCTGACGCTACAGTATCTCCAGTCGTTGGTGTTGGAGACATAAAAGTTTCCGATGAGCTAGTTCTTCATTTTGTTCTGCATGTTCCAAAATTGAAGTGTAATCTGTTATTTGTGCAAAAATTGACCAAGGATAAACACTGTCATGTTGACTTCTATCCCAACTATTGTATGTTTCAGGAAATGTCAACGGGGATGATGATTGGCAGTGCTAGAGAATTTGATGGTCTTTATTACCTTGATGCATCCTCTAAAGAGTATGGTAGCGTTTGCAATAAAGTTTCCTTTCCTAAGGATAGTAGTATTTTGTTATGGCACCAACGTCTTGGTCATCCCAATTTTCAGTATTTGAGTCAAATGTTCCCCTCTCTTAATTCTAATAAAAGTGTCTCCAAGTTTTATTGTGATGTTTGTGAACTTGCAAAGCACCAGAGAACCACTTTTTCTCGCAATATTTACCAACCTTCCCAACCGTTCACCACTATTCACAGTGACCTTTGGGGACCTAGCCGGACTACCAACAGAACACATAAAAAATGGTTTATAACATTTATCGATGATCACACCCGTGTTTGCTGGACCTTTCTCCTTAAAGACAAAATTGATGTTGTCCCTGTATTCATCAACTTTTACAAAATGATTCAAACCCAGTTTCACACCTCTATTAAAATCCTACATACTGATAACGGTACTGAGTTTATCAATAACTCTTTAGGCAATTTCTTACAGCACCATGGAATTGTTCATAAAAGCACTTGTGCTTATAGCCCTCAACAGAATGGCATAACTGAAAGAAAAAACCGGCACATTTTAGAGGTTGCTAGAGCCCTACTTCTTACTCATAATGTACCCAAATTTTATTGGGGTGATGCCATCCTTACCGCCACCCATCTCATTAATCGAATGCCGAGCCGAATCCTATCTTTTAAAACCCCACTTGAGGTTCTTCACATCACCCATCTTATTCCTCACCTTGAAAATAACCTTCCACTGCGAGTTTTTGGGTGCACTGTCTTTGTTCACATTCATCACAATAGTAAACTTGACCCCCATGCCGTTAAATGTATTTTTCTTAGATATTCTGCTTCCCAAAAAGGGTACAAGTGTTATGATCCTCTTACACAGAAATTCTTTGTTAGCTGTGATGTCACCTTCTATGAAGATGAATCCTTTTATCCAAAATCTCCAACTCAGGGGGAGAGTGTGAGTGACTTGGAGTCTTCCTTAGAACCCTCTTTCCCACTTGAATTAGAATTACCCTATGAGTATGAACCTCCATTAGAACTTCCGTTTGAAGTTGGTGCGTCAACAATTGAACCTGAACTAGATAATGTACCTACCACCGAGGGGGATCCTAATAAGGGGGAGAGAACAAACACTGATAAATTCTATGATCGGTTTTATGTTCGGAGGAAAACATCAAGGAACTAGACCCAAGTTCTCGAAGCTGACCATGATTCTGAACCAATGACAAATCCTGAACCTCAAGAAGATATTACTGACTGTGATCAGCCAGGGGGAGTAGAAGAAGATTTGGATCTTCCCATTGCACTTCGGAAGAAACCCAAATGCTGCACTAAACACCCAATAGACAAGTTTGTCTCTTATAAAGCTCTCTCACCTCGATTTCAAGCCTTCACTACCAATCTGGATAGCATTACAATCCCAACATGCATTGAAGAAGCACTACAGTCCCCAGATTGGAAAAACGCTGTTATGGAAGAAATGAATGCTCTCAAGCTAAATGGTACATGGGAAGAGGTTGAGATACTGCAAGGAAAAAAGCTGTAGGTTGCGAATGGGTATTCACAGTGAAGTACAAAGCAGATGGTACTGTTGAAAAGTTCAAGGCTCGTCTTGTGGCAAAAGGTTTTTCCCAAATCTATGGAACTGATTATACAGAGACATTTGCACCAGTTGCTAAGCTCAACACAGTAAGAATTCTTATGTCCCTGGGTGCAAACCTTGATTGGCCATTGTATCAGTTAGATGTAAAGAATGCATTCCTAAATGGAGACTTAAAGGAAGAAGTGTACATGACGCCACCACCTGGATTCCCTGCCCAGAGAAGGAACCTAGTCTGTAAATTAAGAAAATCCTTATATGGATTAAAACAGTCACCTCGTGCATGGTTCGAAAGGTTCACACAAGTTCTAAGAAAGGAAGGTTTCACTCAAGGGCAGAGTGATCATACATTGTTCTTCAAGCACAGGGAAGGAAAGAAAACTATTCTGAGCGTATATGTGGATGACATCATCCTCACAGGGGATGACCATGAAGAGATGGAAAAGATTAAAAAGGCATTGGCCAAATCCTTCCAAGTCAAAGACTTAGGGGAAATGAAATATTTTTTGGGAATGGAAGTAGCGCGATCTAAAAAAGGGATTTATATATCCCAGAGAAAATACATCCTCGATCTGCTAAAAGAGACAGGAATGTTAGGGTGCAAACCTAGTACGACACCCATTGAAGTAACATCAAAAAAGAAGAAGATAAAAAAAGATGATAGAGAAGAAGAAGAAGAAGATGAAGAGGAAGAAGAAAATGAAGGGAAAGATGTTGACAAAGGAAGATACCAAAGACTAGTTGGGAAACTTGTCTATCTTTCCCATACTAGACCAGATATTGCATTTGCAGTAAGTGTAGCAAGCCAACATTCTCATACTCCTAAAGAGAAACATCTAAAGGCAGTCTACAAGATTGTACGATACTTGAAAGGCACACCTGGAAAGGGAATATTATATCAAAAGACAGAGAAGAAAAATGTAGAGATATTTACAGATGCAGACTGGGCAGGCGCCCATAATGATAGAAGATCAACATCAGGATATTGCACATATGTGTGGGGAAATCTAGTGACATGGAGGAGTAAGAAGCAAAATGTTGTTGCAAGGAGTAGTGCGGAAGCTGAATTCCGAGCAGTAGCTCATGGTATATGTGAAGAGATATGGGTAAAACGGGTATTAGAAGAGCTAAGGATTGAGTTAGAACTTCCAATGAAGCTGTACATTGATAGCAAAGCTGCTATAGACATCTCACATAACCCAGTTCATCATGACAGAACCAAGCATGTTGAGGTTGATAGACACTTTATCAAAGAAAAGATTGAGGGAGGCCTTGTGTCACTCATACATGTGCCGTCACGGAATCAAACCGCAGATATCTTTACCAAAGGCTTGAACAAGGAGATGTTTGAAAAGTTTGTGGGCAAGTTGGAAATGATTGACATATATAGTCCAACTTAAGGGGGAGTGTGGAAATCCCATTAATTGTGTAAATAGTAAATAGGCTTGATTTGTTTTTATTATTATCCCTTCTCCTTCGGTTCTGACCATTAGAATTAATGGTGATTATTCCTTCCCTAGTCATAGGCTAGAAATCAGAGATTAGATTAGCCTAGCACTGTGTATATATTGTAAATCGCATGTTCATGTTCGGAAATATACAATTGAAGCATTTCAGTCGACTCTCTCTCACACAGACAAATGTGATCCTCTAGCTCTCTTTATGCGATTCTAGCCATGGCTAGTGGATTGTTGTTTTGATACTGCTGGTGTGAAAAAGGATGAAGATATGTAGGAAAGAAGAATTATAGAAATATAGATACGTAAACTCTTTATGATGGCATTAACATATCAATCCTCATCAACCAAACAACCCCTCGTCCTTTTTATAGCAATAGGTCAACAGCTGCTACCTAACCAACCAGCAACAACAAACTTTTATCCTATAAGTTGAATGCAAATTAGACCTTCACATTCTCCCATGGTTTGGACTGTTGATGCAAAACCCATGGTGCAAATTAAATACAGCTTCATAGAACATTTGTTTACATTTGTAATCTTTCTTTATTTCTTAAATTATAGTTTTTTTTATCGAGATCTTTTGGTTAATGTTATATCAAAAGAGTTGGTTGTAGATAGATCACAATGGCATCATGCAATCCCTGTAGCTAACCTTATTTAATGGAATAAGGCTTTGTTGTTGTTGTTCAATCTTTTTACATGTTAAATTTCTTATTGTGAGGTAATTATTGTTAGTTGATTGAAAATTCTGAGGAACACCCAACATCCAAAATTATTTGGTGTAGCGTTTTCACCCCTAAAGTAATTAAAACATAATATTCTTCACCTTGATGATAAATGCTTGCAAACATTTATTAGATTATCAAACTATCTTCTCTCACATCATATTAACAATCAATGTCTATTATTTAATGTATGGGTAAAAAATGCTACGTTTTAATTACTTTAGGAACAAAAATGCTACACCAAATAGTTTAGGGTGTTAGGTGCTCTTTAGAGAATACTTTAGAGGCAAAAAATGTTCCTTCACCCAATAATTAATATGAATATAAATTTATTAATTGTTTTTAATTATGACTGGTTCAACCACATTTTAACCAAAGCTTGACAATTGTGAACCAGTAACTTGATTAGTCCAATTTTCATGAAATTGATATTTCATATTCTTGCAGTCTTTTTTGATTCCTTAAAATCTCTGTCGATGAGTTTTTGCCTACCATTCATCTGGTCTGGCACAGCTTGGCATCTGTTCGTATGGAGCAACTTTGTTCTTGTATGCATTGCATTTTTCAGTTAAGCTTAGACTAATTATCTATGAGATGCATTTTGGCATCCTCGCTTTTGAATCAGAGCTGTATTTTGCTTGTATTTTATGGTTTCATGGGTGTGCGTGTGCAGTCTAAGGGCTGGAAACCGAAGTCAAAATCTTTGGAGGAAGTTCTTAAGTCAACTTTTAAAGCAGAAGGCAAACTTCTTGGTTATGATGAAACACCCATTGATATAACTGAAGCTGGCATCGAGCCTGTAATGGTTGAGGGAGACCAATGCAGCAGTTTTGATCCAGAAATTTTTCGCATCTGTGATGATGAGGTAGTTGACGGATACCCCCCACATTCAACATCTGTTAGGCAGCAGGTTCCATCTTCTTCCGTCACAGGGAAACTTGGGGAGGAAATTGAAGATCACGAACGGGACTGTGACTCACAGAGGGCACGTATGTTAGGTAAATAATATAATAAATAGAAGTTAGTTAGGATTGGGAAGTTATGACTGTTAAGCCTTGATTAGTTTACAAATAAGGGGGGGTTAGGACTTAAAATGTTATGTTATTGCTTTCCCATAATTTCAGAGTATTATTTTGTTTCCATATTCATCTGTTTTATCCCCCCCCCCTCCAAATCTTTCTACCTACATAAAGGTACTAGTATAACTTAGGTAGCTTCAAGATGCTAACTGCTAAATGTCGGAGCTAGTATCTCACTCACTATTAATTCAGATACTGTTTCAGAATGTGTGGTCAAAGGAACATCAAGATCGCGGTTATATGAATTCTGTGCTGCCAATTGCTGGAAACCTCCTTCATTTGAATGCTGCAAAGTGGAGGGACCAGACCATCTGAAGTTGTGAGTCCATAATCTTCATATGTTGTGATCTTTGTTGTTTCTAAAATTGTCATGTTTTGGCAACTAGTGAAATTTGTATATCCGGGCATTTCTTTTGTTTGATAATAATTTGAGGCCTGCATTTTTTTTTATTTGGTAAATATTTGATATAAATAATGAAAATGTAAATATTACGTTCGGGGAATATATGACCTATAGTATGAATAATTTAAATAGAATTTAAATGATGAAAATTTAAACATTAAATGAAGGTCCCATTTGGGTCCCTTGGGACAGGGTTGGGCTTAGAAAAACTAAGCCTACATGTACAAAAGGGATTTTTCAGCCCATCTCTAATATTTTCCAATATTTCATCTAAGTTGCAATACTGCCATGTAATCCATATAGCCAACCCTATCTAATAGGATAAGAATTATTATTGTTAAGTCCTGAAAAATAGTGACTTAGCCCCTAGAGGTAGTATTTTTTAGGAAAAGAATTAACCGTCCAGTCATTCTAGTCAGTGTATTTTTATGTGTTCTCCTTTTCTGCCTGAGGTGTCCATCTTTCTACCGTAATTAAATCATATCACCAAAAATTAGTTACTTTGGAATTTTTCAGTTATTTGGGTTCTTCTCTGATCATAATGCTTGTTTTCCTTTTTGATCTGGAAGTTTCGAAATTGGCTAGAGTATTTTCTTCCATATTATGCTTGATTTGAAAATTTGGATCTGAACTTAGAGAAAAAATCGAATGAATTTAATGTTCAAAATATTAAAAAAAAGGGGTGCAAAATATGAAGGAGGGGATAGAAACCTAAAAATCCATACCCATATTCCCCTTTCACTTGTATGTGGCTGCACCACTGGTTGGAAATATTGAGATGAAAAGAATGTTTAGTCAACAAGGATAAGACTTTATTACTGTCATGTAATTCTCATTCTTCATAAAAGTTTATATCCTTTTGTCTTTTTTCACTCGTCTATATTTGATTTTGGTTTGTCTTTCCTCTTAGATTTACTTGCAAGGTGACCTTGGAGATAGAAGATGCTTCAAATATGATTTTGGAGTGTGTTGGAACTCCTCAATCAAGGAAGAAAGAAGCAGCAGAGGCTGCAGCTGAGGGCGCATTTTGGTACCTGGAAAAGGAAGGTCACTTACTTTGATGGTAAGTGAAAAAAACAGCTTAACAAGGGTTTAAACAGTCTTCTCATTTGAAACTATCTGTCATTAGGAATTTCTAAAATGACCTCGGTGTTAATGATTATGTTCTAACAGCTATAGATAGCGATAACGGTTTGGCATGCCACTATTTCCTGGCATTTGGAATGTGTAGTATGAATCCCTAATTATTGGTTCCCTTGATATGTATTTAACATGTCTGTTGGGATCTGAAATTTTTTTGTTATGGATATCTTTTGGGGACAATATAATCATTAAAATTAGATTTTAATGCCTCAAAACATTAATTAAAACAAAAAAAGTGCAGAACCTTATGCTTCTTACAGGGAAAGCATTGGATCACAATCTACATATTTTTAGTAGCATGTTATTTCAATCGCATCTATATCTTAGGGTGTGTTTTAGACAATGTCAATCATCTTAAGATCCCATGCATTTAAAAGGAATCATTACATCAGACATTAAGATAAAAATAACAAAATACCGAACACCTCTTCTTAAATTGTGTTATTCCATCCTGTGTACATCTTGCAAAAATTTCCATCTTTGGTGGAAGAAGCAAACAAAGAATAAATGCATTGTAGAACTCAAAAAGGAATAGCTCTAGGAGATGAATTTTGGCCATATCAGATGAAACCAAGTTCAAATTATGGCGTCCACTTGTGTGTAAAACTAAAAATGCTCTAGGATTTATGTCCAACACTCTTTGTTGCATCTATTGATTTTTACATTTTATGTTAGATCCATTATCATGTTATCCTTATATCATTGATACCAAGTTCATATTTTTCTATACATTAATGAATTCATTAACATGACATTTTCTTTATGTATTGTCAACTTTTAAGCCAAGATAAAGGAAGAGAGTTGTATTAAGTCTTGAATAATCAATTTAAAATTGTTAAATCTCACTTGGATATAAGTAGGTCTTTGATCGGAATTAAAACCATTAATATTTTCAACATCATCTATGGGTGATTCTTCTATTTTTTTTTTTTTTAATCAGTTGAACTTGTTATTACATCCCTTTATTATGAATAGTAACGAATTTATCAAGGGCATCAGTTAGTCGTTACATCAAATTTTAAACTTTTCTTTGTTTTCTTTAACGTTAGATTCAAATTTTCTAGTTGACATTTTTGACACTCCAAATACTGTAAAAAAAATAATAATAAAACAATTTATATTTAGATAAAAAGAAAAAGAGAAATAAACGCCCCTTGGAGGGATTGATGCCTTAGAAGTTAGACATATGATTGGTGTCTTTTGATTTAAGCCAAAAAAAAAAAAGCCAATGGGCAAGTAGAAAAGGATTTGGCAACTGGCGATAAGGAGCAAAGGAGTGACAAAGTGATATTCCTTTTGTTTAAAAATGTAAGGTATTTTTAATAGAATTTTATCTTTTAATAAAGTAGTTACTTATTTTTAAATTACCCTTATTTTTTATATTTATTTTTATTACACACCGTACAATAAAAATAAAGTTATTATCAACAAAAATATTTTTAAAAAAAATAATGATTACATCTCAAAAGATTAAAAATATCTTATATTTTTGGACATCTAACTTTTTAAAAAATATCTTACATTTTTAATGAAGGGATTAAGCTTAAGCACTAGAACAATATTTATTTTTCTAAAAAGAAAATAACCATAGTGGTGGCAATTGAACTTTTTTAAGTAAATCAATTATAAATTAATAGATAAATAGATATAAAAAAAAATGGAAAGTGATAGGAAAAGAAAAGGGAAAATAGCACTACTACAAGGCTGAGAGAAAAAGAGGAAAGCGATTCAAAGAGATCTTTTAAGGAACACATGCACAATATTCTTTGCACCTGTTATTTCCATTTCCCAATATTCATTTTCCCATTAATTTGTTACAAAAGCTTTTAATTATCAGTAGTTATATATTTTACATAATAAAATGGCACAAATTTAGGATTATTATTTCAATTTTTATCTCTTCATCAATACCTTGGACTAGTTTATTTTATACATTCCACTGTAATCAGATTTGGAATATTAAAACCTTGCTTATGTTCTTGTGTCATTTGTTTCCCTGTAAATGTCCAATATTCTTGTGATTGTTTCATATATAAATTGTTGATTGGAGATCTATTATGTATTGTATTGCATTCTTGTGTGACATTTTGGTGCACTGACATTGGTCATCTATATCATTGCTATCTCTGTTGGATTCAATGTTCTTGATTTGTGATTTCACTATTGGAGTTTGGCTAAAGTAGTGCATTAATAATATTTGTCATCTATTGACTCTCATGGTCAGGGAGTCAGAAATTTTAATTTCAGGGGTAGATATTGCAAAGTAAAAACGTTAGGCTTAGAAATTTCAATAACTTGGCTATAATAAAATTAAGTAATTTTTTAAGAAAACCTTTCCATCTGTAATCTTTTAACTTTTAAATAAGTAATTTTGTAGTAGATATCAAATATATAATATTTAAGGTATTTTGAGATTTTTGTTGCAATGCTTATCAAAATTTCTTAGTAATTTCCATAATTTTTTTAATCTAATGTAAAATAAAAGTAAAATCAAATGACATTAATATTTTACGAGTACATGTGGCATTACTTCATTGAAAATAAATAGATTGTGTCACAACTATATTTTTAAGAACTGAAATAATTGTATTATATATACATAAAAGACTGTATATAAAATTAAAATGAAAACATTGGTTAATGTCTCCAAACCACTGTAATGTGCTAAATTAATTCTTTCATGTCTAAATTTCATTATTTTCAACTAAATTGGCAATTTGAAATGCAACAATTTCTTGCAATTCATTGTTGTGCTTACAAGAAGAACACACAACATCAGCAATCTTACTCAAGTTTTGAAAGAATGAACATACATTAACTACTTATTTACTTGCAGCAACAAAAGCTATTTATAATTGATAAGTTAAAAAATGTACATAATATTTTAAAGGGATCAAAAATATATAACACTTACTTTTTATTTAAAAAAAATTAGGGGGGGGGGGCATGTGTCTCCACCATTGCTTATGGTTGTACTAGTTTCTCTAATGAAATTGGCAATTGATTAATATTGTTATCAATGAACAATTTTTTGTGTCAATTCAGAGAAACATTTGTCATTTGTTTTTTCCACAAATACATCAAAGAATAATGGATTTTTTAAAAAACGGTAAGAGTAAAACAATAAACATTAAACATCCAGCTTTGTATACATCATGCTTTTGTCTCTTGCTTCAAAAATAATATTTTGTATTCTCATGTGTATATAACTTAGAGTATGTGTAAAATTTTAAAGGAAGAATTTCAATATAAGACCACAGTAGAACATTTATTTCAAATTTAGACCAAAAGATTCTGAAAGCATGCTACAAGGCCAATGGATTAAATTGAAATTGTTTTAAAGTATAATGATCAAAATGCCCTTCAGCTGTTAATAATACACTTTGCATATTCATAATCTAGTGAATTAATGAAACAACAAGTTATTAGTCTAACAATTTATTTTTATAATGTAAGAAAATTAACAAGTTAGCATTACTGAATAACAAGTTAAGTTGACAAGTTTCTTTAATAAATTAACAAGTAAGTATTACTAAAATAACAAGTTACGATTTTTACAGGTCGCTTTTATATTGTAACAAAATAATTTTCAAATATACAAAATGCATTGTTAACAAGTTTTTTTTTTAATTGAATGAATAAGAAAACATGAGTAAAATTTTAAGTTAAATTATTATTTTAAGAAGTACTCTTCTTGTTGTACTAAGTCAATAAAATTGAGTATTCAAAATATATTATTAACACTTTACCCAAAAAAAATATTATTAATAAGTTCTTTTATCAAATTAACAAATATTAGTAAAATAATAAGTTAAGATATGGTTTTAACAAGTCAATTTGATGTTGTCTTATATTTTTTTAATAATAGAAGGATATTTTAATCATTTTTTTAAATATAATTTCAATTTAATCCCTTGACCATACAATATAATTTCATAATCATTTAATCCTGATTTAAAGTAAATGTTCTACTATGGTCCTATAATGAAATTCATGTAATTTTAAATTGTTTGTTAATCTTATCACGAGTCATACTCATGTGTATAACTTAGATTCACTCCTTCTCTAACATTTTTCTGATAAACTCAAAAGTAAATATCAAAACTTTACATGGTTTGCTAATCTTATCACCTAAGCCAAAGTCAAATCACTATATGTTAATCTCTTGAATAATATATAGCAAATATTTTTATAGGCAGTATATTATTAGCTCATTTGACAAATAGAATATGCAAGTTTTATTATATTCTAGAAAAAATTTAAGCAACCGAGCAACTTTTAATATGCATCAAACAATGAAGTAAAGCTTGAATACAAGCAACAACAAGCCTTATTCTATTAAATGGGATTGGCTATATAGATTGTACAATGTCATTGCGATATATCATATATCAAACTTTTATGAATGTTGTTAATTAAGAGATGAAGCAAAGCTTGAATATGGAACAAAATTTATTATTGAACAATGAATATGGAGCAAAGCTTGAAAAGAAATGTAAAAATTAAATTTAGGGGAAAAAAGGGGGAGAGAACGAATTAGGCTCACATATTACATTTTACATTTACCAAATTTTCATTCATTTTTTTTTTCAATTCTCAAAATGATTAAAATTAAAGCACCATCGATTAATGTTGAGTCAGCCATTGATCCACTCTCATTTATCTCATGATCCATGCCTTCGAAGCTGCATATATATATATTGAAAATCAATATTTTGAAATCAGATAAATTATTGAATAAAGTAGGTTTTAAATTTAAAAATAAGTTATAAGTATTATTGGTACTAAAAGTTAGATATAAAATATATAAAGTTAAGCACCAAAATTGTTTCCTCATTGAAGTAATTAAGTTTGTTTTTGCTTTAATTCCTTAGGATTTCGAGACATAACATCTTTCTGAGTAATCATTGTTTTAATATAAGCATGTTTTTTATGAGTTTATCAAACAGAATTATGACAATATGTGTGTGTGTGTGTCAATTCTTATTCTCATCTCTGTATTACTTTATTGTTATCACCTCACAAGAATGTATATGTGATCATTATCTTTTTAGTCGATTTTATTTTCATATTCTATCAACTCATTTCATTCTAATTCAACAACTAAGGGACCCAAAAAAAGTAATGAAATAGTGTATTAAGTAAAAGTACATGTGACACTTTATATATTACATTAAATCTAGACTAAGTTAAGTTGCGTTATTTGTAAGCAATACTACTTTTTTAAAAAAACAAAAGTAATACTTCTTGTTACAGATTGTATATCATATATCATTAGGTTCATAATATATAGTAATGATAATTATTTCAAGATTCTAAAACAAGTTAGTTAAAACCTTATTTTTTTTAAAAATGTTGTAAATATTTCTAGTTATACCTTTATTAAATGTAATATATAAGTGCCTTAATAACAAAAATTAAAAATCCAACAAACATTTAAAAAAATGAAGTAATGGTATTATTAAAAAATTATAAAAATACTCAATGCTTTGCCTATTAGACCAAACAAAACTTTTAAAAACTATTTTATATTATAGTAAAAAGGGAGTATATATTATATATTGATATTGATTGATTCTTTCTTTCCCTAGAGAATGAAGGAGAAAATATAAAATAATTCATACCTAAGAATCTAAATCTCATTGGACCCTTCTCTCTATTTTTATTTTAAAAACTTACCTAATACTTGATATTATTAAGCTGAATTTCAACTGTATTAAATCCCAAATGAAAGCAAGCTCCTTTATAGTAATCAAATCTTATTCAAGCATTTTGAGTTACTTTCTTTTAACAGTCTAACCAATTAGTTAAACCCAGTTTTCATTCTAAAATTTATAATATTAAAAACCACATCAATCTAACTGGTTAAATCAGTAAATCATTGAATAAATATTTTGATTAGTTTAATAAAATATTTTATTTATAACCAATCTAACTACAATCCAATTATGGTTTCAACATGTAACCTCACTAAAATTTTATTAAAGTTAGGCACGTAAAAAATTTAAAATCTAACAAAGGCACAAAAAAAATATATATATATATATATATATAAGTGTAAATATTCACCTTGTCTGGAGATTTTTCCGTTGCCATCAAAACCAGCAGCCCAAAAGAAATATCCACGAAGCCCAAAAACTTGAGCAAATCCAATCTTCGTTGTTACGGTCAGTGAATCATCAAAACTAATCCAGGAGGTTCCAGAATAAGAATACACTGACACTGTGTCCACGTCATGCACCACCGTGGCACCTGTTCTTTTGTTAAACTCTTCCACCTGGAAGTACGCCATTGCACCTCTCCTGGGCCCACACCAACAGTCGGAGCCCCGATTCCATGCACATTCGGGTTTCGTAGCTTCCACGTTCTCCCATAAAGAGGTATGCCCATTGCAATCTTATGTGGGTAAAGCCCGGCTCTAATCCACGATCGAAGCCCATGTACGGAGCTCACATTGCTGTTCGGGTCAAACAATGAAGCTAAAGGTCCGGTTTGGTTATTCCAGGACCCGTGATAATCGTAGGACATTACGTTGATCCAGTCCAGATTGTTGTTGATGCAAGCCACCGGGTATGTGCGGCTGGTGACGGATAGGAAGAAGTCGACGGTGAAGTACACGGCGGCAGTGAGAAGCAGCGGCGGTCGGCCTCTGCTTTTGGCGTCATGGAGAATTGCGTTGCGCCAGTCTTGGAGGAGTATGCCAAAGTTTTCCATTTCTGTGGAATTTCGCGGGAATTCCCAGTCTAGATCAAGCCCATCGAAGCCGAAATTTCTCGCTACCTCAATGGTGGAATCTATGAAGGTTTTTCTCGAAGTATGGTTGGAGGCGATCTGAGCAAACACGGCAGGATTACTGGTTGCTCCGCCGATGGAGATGAGAGTTTTTAGGGGAGGGGTTTTGGTTCTGATGCTACTCGTGAATCTCGAGAGGCTTTCGGCCGTTAAATTAAATACTCGTAATTTGTATGTGATGCTGTTTGGCGCGAGGAAAGCGTAGTAGATGTGAGTGTACAATGATGAGTTTATGGCTGAAGCAGGGAAGATCGATTGCTCAAACCAGTAAGCGCCTCTCACCACTGAATGTGAATTGGATAATGCCGTCGTGCATCTGGAGGTCACTGCCAGCAGAATTGCGTTGAGAAGGAAAGTCACAACGTTTAGTTTAGTCGCCATGATTTGGCTGCGGAGTTTTGAGTTGATGGGCAAAGCTCGCTACTTGAAGGCTCTATATAAAGACTAATAAAGAGGTAAGAATTCTCCAGAATAGTAGCATGACATGACATGAATTTTCTATTTGGTTTGACGAGTTCATCCATGAATATAATTCACTAAAATATACGAATTAAGTTATTAGTTATAGCTGTCATCCTGCAGAAATCGATTGTTTTCCCTTGAAAGATTCTTTTGTGTCTCTGTCTTGCATGAATTGTGGTTATACGAGGTTAAGGAAGTGACATGAACTGGGCAAGGCCGTCCATGGTGACCCTTTAGGATTAGTTTGATCCATTTGAACTAATATTCCTGAGAATTTTTAATTAAGCTTGCCGTTTGAAATTTTAAATTCTGAACTGAATGAACTGTTAAACATGGCTGGATGTTCTGGAAGTCCAAGGGGCCAAGTAATGGATGTATATATTTTACTTGAAACTGCACAGTTTGACGTGAGCATGTTAATTAAATTTTGTCCAGAAATAGGGATTAATTTATGGAGCCTTAAGAATCAAGATTATAAAACGACCAAAACTGGCCTTTTCAAGGTGTTGTGAGTTAGTACTTGATTAATTTATGGAGAATTCTATTCTGTTGTGACAAGGCTTGTTTCGGTGCAAAGTAAATCCTATTGGAAGTAATTTGTGTTTGACTTGTATGATTGCACATATTTTTTATTTTGGACTAAATGCAACGCATTTACTTCACTTGGACTTTGATTTCTTATATTAAATTTCAGGTTAGCCTTTACTCATTCAAGGGGTGATAAAGCAAAAGTTATAAAATACGGTTCCAAGAAAAAAACCAATCCAACTTGTTATGAATATGAAAAAACTTTCACTGTCTTGCTTTGATGTGGCTAGACTGGTAGAGGATCCCAAGGGGTAGTTTGATTGACTAGGTTAGTCAATTTAGCTTATTTCTGAAAGTTAGCTGTCGTCCATTAATGGCCATATTACAAAATTATATTGTTAGAATGCTAGTTTGGGTTAAAATAATCCCTAATGTTAAATGAACTAGTACCAAGAACTTGATCAACTATTTATTTGGCTTGCAAGCATGCGAGTTTGGCGCAATTCTCTAATTTGTGAAAATATTTTATTTTATAGGAAATAAATATCTTGATCTTTATTTAGTTGAAGACATAATCAACCCATAGTCCTATACAACATTAATATCATCATCAATAGGATGTCGCTTTGTGCCACTCGTCCCATTCGTACAAACAAACTGATTTCTCCTCTCTGGAAAATCCGTGATGTTCTGTTTTGGATTTCGCGGTTAGGAATAGCAGGGTCTTCAGTCTACTCATTGTCATTCCTTCAATACTACAGGCAAAATTCTAAGATATTGGCCGAGGTTGCGTTATAGTTCTTATAGAAGATCTTGATCAGCTTCTTGTTTCATGTCATTCAGTGTCAATTATAATTTGGTCAAACAGCAATGGGTTAACTCGTTACTTAGATACCAATGATCTCGTAGTCTAGTGGTATGTAAGTTTTCCTGTAAATAGGAGATCGGAAGTTTAGTTCCGTTTGCAATCTCAAGCCATTAGTGGCCCTCTAATTCAATATATATATATATATATATATAGTTACTTAGATTATGTAAATTAGAATTGGGAATGCAAGTCAGCCTGTCTACTAGTAAAACAGTTTGCTTTTCACTAGCCCGTCCGTTGTTGGCTGGTGAGCCAGCCCACAAAACTTGAAAGGATTCCTTCCTCCCCCCTCCCCCAACCCAAAATTCATTTTCATGTATCTTATTTAAAAGAATTAAAGTGCTAATTTATTCTTGAACTTATTTTTTAGAAGCATTAGATATCCGGTGCAATATCGCCTTTCTTGTGCTAAAAAATGGAGCAATATCACCGCTTTGATAAATATATATTAGTTGACCAAAAAAATTACAGAAAACAATTTAGAAAATCACATAAAAGAATCAAAAAATTTACAAAAAAGGATCTTATAAAAAACTAATAATATATTGATCAAGTCCCCTTAAATTACAAATAAATTCTAATAGACTAATGTTATCTTTTAACCTATGGGGGCGGGTCTCATGCACGCATAAACCTAGAGATTCTTGAGTTTCTATATTTTAGGGTATATTGATTCAAGTAAGGCCCCTCAGCGTTTGTCTTGGACAAACTCAAGCTACTTCATGATTCTCAACCTTTTGATAATTCAACCCATGAATCTTTAAATGTAGTGATATGAGCTCACACTCATGAAATATGATCGGATTCTTTCTTATATGCAGGTTTCTCAAAGAAGCAAGTGTATGGTATACTTAAATCTTAATATGACAGAAGTAAAAGATTATTGAAACAAGTTTTCAGAAGAGAGAGTTTTAAAAGAGAGACATAATTAAAAACACTCTAATCTTATTCTTAAATGAGCTTTGTGTTATAATACAAATGAAACTCTTTTTTATAGATGAAGGGAGGAAAGTAAAGACAACACACTAACTATTACAAGATGAGATATCATCACATGTATACACTCTTTTTCAAAAGAAAAGTTGGACATGACTAAAAGTAAAAGCAATTTTACTACAACTGACTTGACTAAAGCAGACAATTTTGTCAAAAAGTAAAAGTTACTTTTGATAAAAATGACTCCAAAGTAAAACTAACATTAACAAAAGTAGGCATGAGTAAGAAAAGCGGATTATTGACTTGATTAAAGATAAGGTTTCAATTATTTTAGACTTTTGTGAATGCTTTCTTGATGAAATGACAGATTTAGGTAGCTTTTCTCTCTTTATAAAAAGTTAGGTTGAGAGGCTTTTTGCTTGTTCTTCATCAAAACCTTCATCTATATATTGAGATACTACAGGGCCAAGGGTGCCTTTTGTCTCTAGAAATAATTGTTAGGTTTGAAACTCTATTTAATAGGGTCTTGGTTATTTAGAGGAAACAAGTTGAGAGTGGATCCCGTACTTTTAAAAGACTGTGCTCCATGAAAAATGAGAAGTTTTTCATTAAATTACCCTTCAAGAAGTGAGTATATTAATCTCACAAAAGCATCCCATCTCCGGATGAATCTAGAAGATCTTATGCCGGCAAGACAAGAATATGCAGCTTTATTGAAGAAGGGATTGATTGAACTCACCAAGTCAGGCTGGACATGTCAAGTATTCTATGTTTAAAAAAGATCATAAAAGCAATGAGGAAAAAAGAGACTAGTAATTGACTATAAGTTTCTCAATGCTTTTTTACAAGATGACAAATTTTCTCTTCTAAAAATTTAAACTCAATTACTTAATGTGAAGCAAGCCAAGATTTTCTCAAAGTTTGATTTTAAGGAAGGATTTTGGCAATTGGGTATAGATCTTGTGGATTATTATAAGATGACCTTCTGTATTCCAAATGCTTAATGCGAATGGATAGTTATGTCTCTTGGGCTTAAAACTACCTATTATTATTTCAAAAGGTCATGATTTGTATCTGTGGGCCCATTATCAACAACACCCTGGTGTATATTAATGACATTTTATTATTCGTAGAAACAAAGCAAGAGCATAAAGATCTACTAGCTCAATTCTACAAGATAATCCAATAATATTGAATTATGCTTTTAGCTTGTAAAGGGTCATATTCAAGATAGATAGTACTAGCCTTGCCCACATATTGCCCAAGAATTATTAAATTTTTCTGATGAAAACTTATCCAAATCTCAGATTCAATAGTTCTTAGATATGGTAAATTACATTAGGGATTTTATTCCTTAAGTGTTCTATCACACTAGCCAACTGTTTAAACTATTGTGAAAAAATCCACCATCTTAAGGATCTAACTAGACAAAAGTTGTCCAATATCCATAGCAAATTTGTCAGCATCCTTCATCATTAAGGATTCCTGACAAATGACAAAGAGTTTTGCAAACTGATACAGGCAATGACTATTGGGGAGCAGTACTCATTGAGAAAGAAAATGGTAAAAGACATTATTGTGGTCATACTAGCGATGAATTCAAGCCTTTCGAAAAGTATTATCACAGTCTATAAAAAAGTCTTAATTGTGAAACATGGCATAAAGAAATTCAATTTTTATCTTAGCCCCTATCGCTTTATAGTAGAAATGGACAACACATCATTCTCAAAAATTCTTGATCAAAACAAAAAGATACTCCTTGAAGCTCAACTTCTTTGATGGAAAGATTGATACAATTTGACACATTAAAGAAAATCATAACACCATTGCATAATATCTCACTAGACTTCAAAAAGTTCAACTTATAACAATGTCACATAACCAACTTCTTTATATCCTTAACATCATGCCCAAATAATTAATTTTTCCTCCAAGATTCAATCCTAAAACTATCCTTGAAGTCCATTAATTAGCCAAGAAAAGTTTGTTATTTTAACTCCACCTTCTCCTCTAAAAAATCCAAATCCAACCCTAGCTTGAGTTTTTTTTTTTTAACATTCAAACTCCATACATGGCTATACCCTATATGAGAGGACCCATACCAAATAAAACCATGTGGTGGTATCTCTGGTTTCTCTTGACTCTCTATGCATGTGCCTTAGCTTTTTCACCATTGATCATTTATAATTATCTTCATGACTCTGTTAATGAAGGATCTAATATATGGAATTTTTTAGAGTGGTTTTCACCATTATCAGATGGCATAAGAAACTTTCTCAAGTGATTGAAAAATATGGTTTGTGGAAGGTACCATTGAATGAACACAAGGCTTATTCCTTCTTTGTTGTTCATCGTCCTTACTACCTAGACAACCATGGGGATCTTTATGTGGCCAACCAAGCATGTGCGTGGAAAACTTCAATTAACTGGTCGACACATGAAAAATTAGTTTTAACTAAGTTAAAATATTTTTATGTGAAATGAACAACTTTTCAAGTACAAATTTTAATGTCAGGGGTACATCTCTTAGTCTTATCCCACATCAATCTATCCTCCCTAATGAGCCGTCACCATTTGTACAATATCATATTCTAGAATAGCTTTCCAGTATTGTTGTTCAACAAGTTTACTCAACCTAGATGGAATCTTATTATGAAGCACAATTGTCGCAAAGTATAGGATCCAATCTCAACTTGTTTCCTCCAAACAAGCAGGACCTTTATGAAATAGAGTCTCAAACTACCAATTATTTTCAAAGATAAAAGGCACCCTTACCCCTATACCATCTTAAGGTATGGATGAAGATTTTGATTAAGAACAAATCAGCCCGACTTTTTAGAAAGAGAGAGAAAAGCTACCTAAATTTGTCCTTTGATCAAGAATGCATCCATAAAAGTCTGAGATGATTGAAACATTATCTTCAATCATGTAAAGAATTTGCTTTTGTTAATGATGCTTGCTTTTGTCAATGTAACCTTTGCTTTAGAGTCATTTTTGTCAAAAGTAGCTTTTACTTGTTGACAAAATTGTCCATTTTAGTCAAGTGAGCTTTAGTAAAGTTGCTTTTACTTTTAGTCATGTCCAACTTTACTTTTGAAAAAGAGTATATGCATGCATGATATGTCATCTTGTAATAATTAGTATGCTGTCTTCACTTTCCTTCCTTCATCTGCAAAAGGAAGTCTCATTTGTATTGTAAGACAGAGCTCGTTTAAGAATAAGATCAGAGTGTTTTCAATTATGTCTCTCTTCTAAAATTCTCTCTTTACTTTTGAAAGCTTGATTCAATAATCTCTTGCTATCATACCAAGATTCATGCATGTTTTGCACTTGCCTCTTTGAGAAATTTGTATATTAGAAAGAATCCAATTATGATCATGAGTGTGAGCCCATATCACTATATTTAAAGATTTATGAGTTGAAGTATTAAGGAGTCGAGAATCCTAAAGTGACTAGAGTTTATCCAAGAGAGAGAGATATTAAGGGGCTTTACCTGAATCAATATATCCTAAAATATGAAAACTCAAGGATCTTTGGGTCTAGGCGTGCATAAGACATCGTATGATTATTGGATCATCGATATTGAAAACACTAGTAAGTAATTAAAAAATATTATATTTGTTTTAATAAATTCTAGTTAAAATATTTTAATATTTAAATAATTTAAATATAATTATTTTTAAATATTCATCAAAAATTTAAAAATTATTTTTTAAATAGTAACAACTCAACTAGTTTTTTTGAAATTTACAATGTGTTGTTCACACTAAATGATTTGTAAATTAAAACATAATGAAAAATTATAAGTCTTGCTTCAAAATTAACAAGTCCTCTTGAAAAATTTATATATCTTAAAAGTTGACTCATAAATTGTACATGAAGATTTGTAGATAATAATATTTAAATTATCAAATATTAAAGTAATAATATTTTAATAAGATGTTATTTAAAAAAATTAATATTTTCAATTACTAATCCGTGTTATTCTTGTGACTAACTTTCTACTCAAACAAACTGTAGAAGGTATTTAGACAACGCTTTATAACCTTTGCCTGCTTCATAGAAGCTTCCGCAAAAAAAAAAAAAAAAGAGATCATATGCTAAAAAACTAAGTGTGAGATTGGTGGCCCATCTTTAGTAAGTCAGATAGGTTTCCAATGCTATTGATGCACTTCCTGCTGAATCAAATAGGCTAGTTTCTCGATACATATAATAAAGAGATACGAGGAAATAGATCACTTTGGCGGATACCACGAAAGGAACAAACTCCTGAGTCTTACTCCTCTCCCATAGAATTTGCAAGATAAGGGAGGAGATAAATTGTCAAACAACATTAAGAATAGAGTAGGCTGGTAATATGAGTTAACCCGCGACCCGCAGGCTAGCCCGCAACGAGTTGTGGGTTATGCCAACCTGTATCTTATCCGGTTTATGTATGAGCCAACCCGCTAACCAGTAGCGGGTTCACGGGCTAACCCGTCAGTAAAAAAAATTACTATTTTTTAAAAAAATTTCTCTTAACTAGGATGTTGATCACCTCAACATTAATACCAAGAAATTTTAAAAAATTTGGTCATATAGTTGAAAAATCTCATCAACAGAGTGAGAGGAAGGAAGCAAATATGGAATATTGATCAAGCTATGAGTATGTTCTTTCACACTTAAACCGTATGCACTGTAGTTGGCTAAAAACAAAAGCGTAACAACAGTGAGTTATGATATAAAGAACACAGAAAACCTAAACAACAGTGAGTTCTCAAGCGAAACAACATAAACTCTTAGAAGTAAAACATTTTACAAAATTTCTTCTAATCAATGATAATGTTAGAAGCTTTATTAGAAGCTGCAATAACATTAATTTGAGTAGATTTCTCCAAGGCTTCATCTGTCACAAACAAATATAAAACATAATTAATATGAAAATATAATTAACATTTAGAAATATAGAAGATAAATGAGGGAATATAAATATTATACTACTAAGCCATGGAAAACCAAGAATCCAATTGCGAGTATAAATAAGAGCTTCAACATTGTCAGGAAGAAGGCTACTTCGATATTTTGTGAGAACTCTTGATCCAATGCTAAAAGCAAATTCACTAGCCACTGTAGTGATTGGAATGCTAAGAATATCACATGCCATCCTTGAAAGATGAGGAAATTGAGTTGAGTTAGTCCTCCAATATTCCAACATTTAATTTTTTCAAGCTAGGATTAAGTGTTGCTTCTTCCAAGTAATAGTCTAATTTGGACTTTTCTATGGATGCAATGTCTTGGTTCTTGCAAGTAAGATAATCCTGAAACATAAAACTAAATCATTAAGTATCACTAAAATTGTCAATTCAAATAATATTAAAAGAACACATTTAAATATAAAAATATTTAAAACTTACAGCAAAAGCATCCATGTAATTATCTTCCTCAGATCCCACCAAATCAAGAGTGGATTGATATGATGACGATAATGATGATCCCAACACATTAGAACTTGATATACCTTCCCCTCTAATACTACTGCTAGTGTCTGAAGATAATGGTGATCCCACATCTTTATAATCATTGAACAAATAATACAACTTTCTCTTAATATATTCAATTTTTTCATTACAATGTATGGGATCAAGTTTTGAGTAAGAATACTTCACTATATCAAACTTCATCCTTGGATCAAGAATAATCCCAAGAGCAAGAATGACATAGTAATGACTCAATATTTATCAAACTTGACAAGCATTGTAGAAGCCATATCTCCAATCATAGGATCAGCATTATCTAAATTTGCTTTCAACAATGACTCAATATTTGAAATTTGCATGAAATACATGTTAGAAGTCAGATATGATGATCCAGAAATCAACTTTGTTATTACTACAAATGGCTTCAAGAATTAGCACATCTCCTCTGCTCTAGACCACTCTTCACTTGTGAGGGAATATTTAAAACTGGTATCACATAAAGCTAAATTGACAAAAGCATGACGATATTTAAGTGCACTTTCAAGCATTGCATGTGTTGAATTTCATCTAGTTGGGACATCTAACCTCAAGCCCATGGAAATGTCATCCCCTCTATCGTGAACATATTTTTTAAAATTTATCATCCTTGCCTCTGATGCCTTTACATATTTAATGCTCTCCCTAATCTTATATGCTGCATCAGTTGCTACTTTCAAGCCTTCTTGAACTATAAGATTCAAGATGTGAGCACAACATCTCACATGAAAAGATTCCCTTGAACATATCAAGCCATTTTGTAAATTCAACATATCTTTTAATATAACTTGCATATTGTCATTGGCTGAAGCATTGTCCAAAGTGATGGAAAACACTTTCTTCTCAATCCCCCAATCTATCAAGCATTCATGCACTTTTTTTAGCTAATTCAGCCCCAAAGTGTGGAGGATTCATCTTTGTAAATGTAAGAATTTTGCTATTAAGTTTCCATTTCTCATCAACAAAATGTGCAGTTAAACAAAGATAACCTTCAGAGGTTATTACAATCCAACAATCAGAGGTCAAGCACACTCTACTAGGACTATTTGCTATAATTTTTTTCAAATCCTCTTTTTGACGGAGATAAAAATTTCAAACATCCACTACAACAGTTTTTCTTGTAATGAGCTTATAATCAGGATTCAAATATTTATGTAGTTCCCTAACCCGTTCATACTCAACCTAAGAATAGGGGAGATCATGTTGAATAATAGCCATAAAAATTATTTCTCGTACTTTGTTATGATCAATTTCTCCAGCTTTAAGCTTCCCAGATTGATCTAGCATACCAATTTCATGACATTTTAGAAGTGACAAACAAGCATTCACATGACGCCAAAAGGACAACGTACCATAATCCCTACCACCAATAACAAATGGTTTTCCACAACCGTTGCATGTAGCCTTCTCTTTTCCATCTACTACACCAATTCTAGTATAATACTTCCATACTTCAGATATGCAAGCTTTTGTTTTAGCTTTTTTATTTGAAGTATGTTGCACAAAAGAGTCAGATTCAGTAGGTGCTGGTTTGTCCACATTAGCTTGACTATTTGTAGCACTAGCAGAAGCTATCCTACAACATATAATTATTTCATCCAAAGTAAATAGAGAACTAAATCAACTAGCAAAACAACTCAGATTCATATGAAAAGCGTTAATTCTTACATGGCCAGACTAATAGTTGTATAGTTGTATGGTAATAACTAAATATAGAGTAACTAATAGTTGTATCAAATTATAGTATATGGGAACTACAGAATACAATTATAGTAATAATTAATGAAATGGATTTGCAGTGAAAGTTGGAATTTAGCAGTCAGTTTCCCGCATAATCAAATGGATTACACGCTGTCAAAGAAAGCTAATCAATGAAGTGTTTCCACTAAGGTTCCCCACCTCCCACTTCCACAGCACCTCTCTCCCTTTAGCAAACACATGCTGCCCCTCTGATCATTTTTAAAGGTCGCTAGGGAGATAAGGCTCTTGAAGTGGTTGGAATGATGAATTAAAGGACTTTCACAGTCCTTTAATTTACAGAGAAAATGAAGAAAGAGAAGTATATTAAAGCACATGTAGATATACACATACACCGTGTGTAATTGTGTATGGGAGATCTATCAAACATATCCCCTTATATATGGAATAGATTTCTTCCACACACTGAAGAGATCATATTAGCAAACCACGAATAATGAATTTGCAGGATTAACTTCTTGTAATTAATATTCATCGGAAAAGAGAGGACCTACGTTCATAGAATAAAACAAGGAAATATATATATATATATATATAACATCAAAAAAAAAATGTCAGATTTCCCTTGGATGTTCTCATGTCCTTTTTGTTTTCTTTCTTGGCTGATTCTTGATTAAGAGCATCTGAACATCAGACATCATAATGTTCATGTGCTTAAAGGTATATTTTCTTCTTCCTGTCAAAAAAATATCATAAACAATTAAGCCTTACAAGATAATCTATATTTTGTATAAACAAGATAAGATATTATATGATTAATGCAATAACGTGGTCCTCTACTGTCAAACGTAAGCCAGAAATATATACATATATAGTTTTGACGCTACCTCTCATCAACATTAATTTGTAATGGTAATAAACAACTAAAGACCCTGGTTATAAGTAATCAATGTCTCTTATAGCCATAGCAACCAAGAATAACAATAAAATTTTTGAAGAAGATATCCAAGCTATCACCTCATCAAATCTGGTGATTCTTTAAACACCATAA